ACACTTGTAAGAGATTTTGTCATTAAAGCACTGAATACTGTTTGTTGCTTCTCTACAAAGTCTGACCTTGAATTTGAGTCTTCTTCCAGGCCTGTCTTTGCAGAGGCTTTGTGCTGACCAGTGGGAGGACAGGGACAGGTGGGGTGCCGGGAAGCCTCAGCGTGACAGGCAGCATTTGTGGGGTGCTGTTAGACATGACCTGCGGAGAAATTGTCACTGTGTTCTCTTCTTACCTGCTTTTTGACAGATAAAGAAAGCTTTGCTTGTTTCTTTAAATAATTCTGTTATTTATCTCAGGAATGCCTGTGATGCTAACTCTGGGACATAAGAGGAAGGTCTTTGAAATCTCACACCCAAACTTTACAGGCTGATTCTGTCATTTACCACTGCACTGGCTCTGTCACCATGCAGCCTTCCAGGGAAGTAGGGCTTCAATTTCTGTCATTAAAAAAAAAAAAAACATTTATTAATTTAAAAAAGAAACATGTTCAACCATTTTGGTTCATCTTGATTTCTCTTCAGTGAGCAAATAAGGGTGCGAGCCAAAATCTTTGGTCTCTACCACAGGTGAATATTAGTAGGTAAGCAGGCAGTAATTTTGTCACACTGCTCCTCTCTGGGAGAGACAAGACCACTCGTTGAACAAGAGAGGCTTAGGCAGGACATAGGCACTGGGCTGCCCTGAAGTGGTGGGACTGATGTACTTCCCAGTGTGTTCAGATCCTGTTCTGGGTCCCTGGAGACTGTAGTTTCAGAAATGCAGACACTTGGGGTACAGCAGCCGGTGAGCAGGAATGCTGGAGCTCTGAGTTCTGAGGTGGCTGGACCCTTCTGCAGGCTGTTGTGAGGAAGAGGACATTTGCCAGAGCAGGAATTGGACTCGAAAGCTGCCCTGGTCTTCTGGCCTCCGATGGCTCTTCTCTGTATGACCTCCCAGGTCACAGACCTGTGCTTGAGCTGGTTCCAGAATGGCTGGCATGGGACAACCTGCCAGGAGCATGGAAAGCCTGTGCTGTTGGTAACTCCCAACCCAACCTTTTGCAGGCAGCCAGCTCCCAGCTGGGGAAAGTCACTGCACCAGGCCTTCTTCTCCTTAGCAGAACAATGTGGCTGCTTTTCCCTGTTTCCTGGGCAAACGAGGGGTGTTTGGCTGCTGTACTGAGGGGCAGGGTTGTAGCAATCACATTGCCAGGCTTCAGGCACCTGCTGCGGGGGTCCCCTTTGGGTTTTCTTGGCTGGGTAGTGTGGGATGGGAGCTGGTGAGCTCTCCCTCCACTGGCCTCCCAAGGGTCCCAGTGCCTCTGGCTGGTTTTGCCTGCTCCCATGTGAATATTGCCAGATTCAGGGCAGAGGCACAGTAGAGCAGCAGCAAGTTTATACTTTAAAGGCTATTTCTAAAGATAACAGGCTAAAAACTGGTTTGCTCAGGCAAGCTTTTTTTCTGCTGGTATTAAAACAACCCCATTTAAATAATTACAACATTTTCCCTATATTTCCTTTCCCTGCCATTTTTCACAGAGTCCACAGCAGTATTACCTGCCTGCTATTGCAATATATTCCAAATACAGTAGAGCATCTGATGCTGAGCAGCTGTTGTATTTCTGGCTAGAAGAGCTCCATGTTGCCATGATTACCTCCATTGTAGAACATGGGCTGTTTTACCTGTTGCAAGTGAAAACTTAGCAATTCACAGAGTAGCGTTATTTCACTTTGCCACCAAGGGTTACCTGTCCTGAAGGAGCAGCAGGCTGTGTGGGCACACAGGATGCAGTGGCTGCAGTCCCAGCACCTGGCATTCTACAGGCCCTTGTCACAGAGAAGGTCATTCAGTGCATTAGTGAGGAATTCCCTTCTGCTTTCAGATCTGATAGTGGTGACTTAACACTGGCTCCAGCAGCTGAGCTAGTTAAGGGAGCAGTTGTTTAGTGTGTTTCATGGAGCTAATGCAGTGCTATTGCTAAATCTTTACTGCTCTGTCATGTTAATGCCAAAAAAGTTTCTTAAAAAACCAAACCAACCAACCACAGACCTTGCTTTTTGGGGTGAGCCCCTCTCAAATGCCCTGGGTTCTGTTCAGTTATTTCTACTGAATAATTTCGGCATAAGGTCCTTGTAAAATTTGCTTTCGAACGGATTCAGTCCAGTTTTGTTTGTTAGTAAAGAACAAGTTATAGACAGATCTTTCTTTCTTGTTTAATATGTATAAGCTCCTTTACAAGCTCTAGCCAAAGAGCATTCGGGTAATTACTTGAGGCACCTTTTAGTTGGAGCCACTGCTTGTATGGGAAGTGAAACTGGTCCCAGGAGAGGCAAGCAGCTCTTTGTGCTGTGCCCTCGGCACAGCCGGCCGAGCCCTGCCTGTTCCCCTCCACCGAGGGCGTCCCCTCGCTGTGTCCACGTCTCTGGGTGCTGCAGCACTGGGGAGGAATAACGAGGAGCAGTGTGAGAGGAGGGCTCGGGCAGCTGCCACAGCAAGGGGAGCTGAGCTGACATCTGTGTTTTCCCACCCTAGAGCGGAGCTGGGCAGGGATGCAGAGGTCATGTGGCTGTTGTGGGTCACCGATGTGTTCAAATAAGTGCTGCGAGCTGGTGGTGATTCAGACCTGTGTTTCCAGCTGATGGGCAGCCTTCCTGCTTCCAGCAGAGCTTGGCTGTGCCCAAGAGGGCTGCACGCAGCCTTCCTGTCCCCCTCTCCCAGCCAGGGGAACAGCAGTCACACTGTGCATCTTTTGTGACGACCCTTGGTGTCAGGGGTCCCAGTGCCCTTCCTTAGGGCTCCCAGGGAAGGGTGTGCTGGGGAACCCAAACCTGGTCAGCAGGCAGACAGCTGAGTGCAGGGATGTTGTGGGCTACAGGGGCTTCTGCCCTTCTGATGGTCCTGCTCCTGCTCCCCTGCTGCAGACCAGGAATTTTCATTCCACAAGAGTGCTGTAAGAGCTCCTCAGCCCCCTGGGTGCAGGGAGAGGGGCAGCACGTTTCTTCTTGCCTACAGCCCATGAATGCAGCCTCCCACTGCTGCCCAGGCTGGCCCTACTGGGTGCTGGCATCCCAGTGCCATGGTGACCCGCAGACAAACAGGTAACCCACTGGCATGGCCCACGTGCTCTGGGCACACGAGGTGGGAACTGCTTTTCTTCACACGCTGCATCAGTGTACAAAGCAAAGGCTCAGTGTTAATCCCCCTGGGGAGCTGCCATAGGAGCTGCCTGTTGGGACTGTGGCACCGCAATTAGAAACAGGTAATTAGTGAGGGAGCACAGTGGCTCTGCTCTGACGCCCTGGGAGCACATGTTCCCTTGGGAAGTGAGCAGAGCTGAGCCTGGGCATGAGCTGTGGTTTGGGTGGAGGTAGGAGCTGGAGGACTGGCTGTGGACACTGCTGGTTCTCTTCCTGGCCCAAGCAGAGCATGGGTTAGTGACCAAGGCAGGAGTCCGAGGAGATGCCCTGTGGGAGAGGGACAGGGCCCTGTGTGTGCTGTGTCCTGCTGCCACTGCCCTTTCCCTCCTCTCGGAGAGGCTCCATTGTGCTCCTGCCCGATAAACACACAGGATGGAGCCATGGCAGCAGCAGCAGCAGCAGTAGTGAGGTGCCCCAGCAGTGCCTCGAAGCGCTGCAGCTCTCCTCAGAAAGAGGGAACCATCCAAAGGCAGGGACAGCCACGCTCCGTGAACAGCAAACCGAGTGACCTAATTCAGCTCTGGCGGGCGGCCCTCAGCCGCTCCATGGCGGCCGTGCTGGAGCTGACTCATCACTTCCAGCCTGGCAGACATTGGAGCTTTCAGGCCCTAAGGATTTTGCTCCTTCCTTATTAATTTTAAATTGATTAAAGTGAATTTTTAAAATACCAGGAGACACTTGCTTAAAGGAATGGTTATTAAAAAAAAGAAGGAAATAGTTGGTCTGTGGGAGTTAACTCTGTGCTTAACGACCTCTGGCTCCTGCAGCTGTAAACACCCATTTCAGCTTGGAGGAGTTTTATGTCAGCTGTTCTGTCATGGCAGATTAGCAAGGACAGGATTAATCCATCTTTATTGTAAAAAACTGAGAATTATAAATGTCCTTGCTTATACCCAGACACCCCCCTGGTGTCCTCATCCATGGCAGGGTGGTATTACAGGCTTCTGCTCTCAGCTACATGACTTTGTCCACAAGTTGAGATCTCCCAGAGAAGCGCATCCCTGCAGGAGCATCCTGTTCTTTCCAGCATTGCTCAGTGCCTGACAAAGCTCCTCATACAGTCCCGAGCCCCCCTGGGGTGGCCTGTGGGCTGTCTGTGCTAGAACGGGCTGCCAGTCCCCTGCTTGGCTTCCCACAGAGGTTGCCATAGCCAGCGTGGGCAGTACAGATGGATGGAGGATCCTTCCTCTCGCTGTCAGAGGGCAGTTCCGGATGAGCTTCTCCCCTGGGCTGTTCTCACCTGCTGTGCCTGCCCCAGCTCTGCCAGGGGGAACTCCCTTACACTGTGGAGCAGGAGGATTTGCAGTGATTTGCAGTGTAATTGCACAACTCAGGCTTATGCAGATAGGTGAGGCTTTTCCCTTCTGCCTGCCCTCTTTCCCACTAGTGGGAGGTGGATGCAGCCCAGCAGCCAGCCAGCAGCCCAGGAGTGCCCATGGACCCACCTAAGCCAGTGCCACTAAGGACCTTTCTGTGCTGTGGTGGGCTACAGAGATGTAGGAACCCCCTTCCTGCAGTCTGCAGAAGCAAGGTCAGAGCTCTCTCCCCATGGGTATTTCTCCCTGAGAGCTCATCCTGGGGCTACCTTCTGTCAGCATCTCACCTGCAGCTGGAGGGGGCCAGGGCTGTGCCTGCAGGGTGCACAGGGGCTGGCCCTGGCTCACTGGCAGGGGTGGTGCTCCATTACAGTGAACATCAGGGCTAGCTCAGGCAGCATAAACAGTAGATTAATTGATAAAGCTTTTTGTCCTGCAAGCAAACACCAACAAATTAAAAATTTAAAAAAAAAAAAAGGAAGGTGGAAAACTCTGTGGTACTTCAGAGAAGACAGAGCAGGAAGCCAAGAGGAGTGAAGGAGCAGAATATGGAATTCACCTGGAGATAATGAAGCAGCAGAAGTTGTCAGCCCCTTTTATGTCTGTCTAAAAAAAGAGGCCTTTTGTTTCAGTGAAACCGAAGAATGAAAATTAAAAAGCTAAACAAAGCAGAAAATTTCTGCAAAAATAATTTGACACTTGCTATTGATTTAAGGAATGGAGCAGCAGAGTTTAACAAGTTGCACAAAAGCACCTTTGGTCTGCTTTAAAAATCTCTCTAAAAGAAACAGTTATATCACTCATATGCTGTTCACCTGTCTCTTCTCATCTCTAGATCTCAAAAGCGGAACTGCTCTAACTTCACATGCCAAAGTAGAACCTACTTCTCCTGCCTCTGCCTTGCACTCAGCATCCAGCCTTGCCCATGGTGCAGTACAGCAGATATTGCTGTGGGAGAGCCTGGCTGGTGAGACAGAGTTCCTTCCTGCTCACCTCCTTGAGCATGGAGCTGTGTCAGCTGGGATGACTGGAGAAGCCCATCTCTTTCCCCGTCCTCTGACAGCAGGTAGGATGTGTTCCTTCTTAGGACTTGATGTCCCAATGTCAGCAGCAGCTTGGCCTGGGTTGTCCCCACTGCTGTGACATGCTCTCTTTGGCTTCACCGGGGTACCTGGGGAGGGTGACAAAGGAGCAGTTGATGTTGTTGTGTGGCGTTTGTATTGATGTTCTTTCATAGTGTGCTGGTTTTAACATGTTTCAACTTTTTTCCAACCAAGGTTCTTTCCAAACTAGTGAATGATATGAACAAATCCTTTCTGTGCTCAGACAGACTCAGATATAGTGTTTTACTCAACTTAGAAAATTATGAAGTTGGGTAGGAACACTGGGTTACAGAATGTTCTTGCTTCATTCATTTTGTCAGTTGCAGTTTTAGTTTTAATTATTTATAACACTTCATAATGTACTAGTTCAATTACAGTAGCATATTTCGATAGAGTAATGAAATTAGTGACATTAGAGTTACTGCAACACTGTTTACCCTTTGCTGAGTAATATTCACAGTAATTATGCACATATTAGAATGTCTTTAAAATATATATAGCCTTAAACCTGGAGGGTTTAAGGTGTTTTAGACATGCTTGTTCTTCATGTAGTTAAAAATAGTGTCCTCTAAGACCTGATCCTAAAGTAGTACATGAAATCAGTGCCTATTCATGGAAGGCAGGTTCTGGCAACGTGAAATCCTTTCAGTCTCTGTAGGACCAGGCCTCAGCCAGCAGACATTAAAGAGCATGTTTCAGTGTTTTAAGGGCAATATTCTTGTATAAGGTTATTTTATTCCTATTTCTTTTTAGATAAAAGCACCCAACAAGCCTGCTTTCTTGGTCCTATATGAGCTGCTGCAGAATCTGTTTAAGCTCTGCTGCTGTTGATGAGAACATGGGTGTAGGGGTTGGAGAAGTTCTGGCCTTGTGTGCATAAAACACGACTGACAAAACAAAATGCTGTCATATTCACAAGGCAAACAGACTTGAAAATAGAGAAAATATTTTTCACATTTTTTTAAATTTTATCACTCAGCTGTGTTATTTCTAGTACTAGCAGACATAACATTTTGCAGAAAGAAATGTGACATCTATTCAGCTGGCAGTATTAGGTTTCCCTATACTGATACCATGTCTTGCCAACAATGCTGTCCTGTGGTGGGAATTGTGTACAGTTACCTACAAGACAACTGGCTGTCTTCATTATGCATTTCCATTTTTTTGAGCTGGAGATAAGACATGCCCAGCTATGCCAAGAATTAAAACAACCCAACAAGTCCATTCTTGTTTGGTGAAAGTGCTGCTCATGTTCTCCAGCAAAGCAATTATGTTCTCTCTATTGTCACAGGTTCTGCTATTTAGTGGTAATAGCTGTTAAGCATCAAAAAACCCACAACAAACAAAACTCAACAGAGGATGGTTTGCCTGGCAAGTGACCTACCTTACTCCCTATTTTGCTTCTTTTAGCCCCAGGCTAAGGGTGCTGCTTCTGAAACAAGAGTGATGCATGCCCTCCAGCTCTACCTGCAGCCAAACTGAGGGTTTGGTTTTCCTGCTCACCCATAATCCATGCCTTCTTCCATCCCTCTGCTGCTGCATCACAGCCAGAGCTGCCTGGAGGAACAGACTCCAAGGGGTTCTGCCCTTAGAATTCAGCCCTTACGCCTCAATTCCTAGTGCCCGTTGTGGGCACGGCCCTTCCCCAAGAAAACTTGAGAGACACACAATATGCATTTGTGCAAGTCTCCAAGAATCCATGTCCAGAGCAACCTTTGGCCCATGGTGTTTTATGACAACCAACTTGTAAATAATTTTGCTTCTAAACAGAAAGGTTTGGGGAAATCAAAAATTCTCTGGTTAAGGAGAAATCTGCAACACGTATTTGAGCAAACCATTCAGCATGAACTTAGGCAGGACTTGGTTAATCCATGTTGGGAGATTCAGAGTCCTTCAGTGGCAGTTGGTTTCTCACATTTTTTTGAGAATGTGTATGTGGATTGCGGAAAGGCAGAAAGTCACTGAAAGAATTATTCTCTTCTTTTGTTTGCTTCTAATTTGCTCGTAAGGAAATTGAAAGTAAGGAAATCTCATCAGGAACAACACCCACGTGCAGGTACCAAGCTCCTGCTGCACCTGAATTCAATTGATGCAAAGAAGCTGAATTTAAAATATGCTCCAGAACAAAGCAAGGCCAGCTGGAGGATTTCCTGCAGGAGAAAGGAAAAGCCTGGGGAGGCAGTGGGCCGGAATGCTGAGCTGTGACACATTCCTGCTGGCTGTAAGTAGTATATCTGGGAGGAGGGGAATGGGAATGTCTTGATTTGGTCATTTGGACTAGTGAACTCTTCCAGTTAATGCTTTTTTTTATCTAGCATTAAAAATGTTGGGGTTTTTTAAATTTCTTTACGTATGTTAAAAATATCTCTGTGTGTGTGTATATTTATATATATATATGGGGTGAGATTGAGTAAGTATTCATTATAAGAGGCTTTAGAAATATGGTGTGTCTGTCTCTGAGCACTAGAAGATACAGAAAACCGTGTCTGGGTGGCTCTGAGCCAGGTGCCTCCTGGCTGTTTGACTTGAGGAAGGCTTTGGTTGGTCATGCTGGTGCCCTCGGGCTCTCCCCGCTGTGCTGGGAGCGGGGCCGGGTCTGTGGCTGGGAGGAAGAGGGGCTTGGGGAAACCACCCTGCACATCCCAGGGAACGGGCTGGAGGAGCCAAAGGCGGCTGCAGAGGCTCTCGGCAGGAGCTCTGGGTGTCCTGCCGGCGGGCACATGTGTGGCTCTGTGCTGCCACTTCCCCTTTTATCCAGGCCTTGTCCCCTGTGCCAGCACTGCAGGCTGGGGGTGCCCCCCCCAGTGTCACAGGGAGCCAGACCTGTCATCCTGCAGCGCTGACGATGGCAGTGGCGCTCACAGCTTCATGAAACACCTTGTTGGTTTGACTGTTTCACACACTTTTAAACTTGCTAGTATTTCCTTTACCAGGCACTAATAAAAAAAAGCCTATCTGAGTCAAGTACAAATGCATTTAATTCAGTCCTTCTCTTGCAGTCTCAATCTCATCATACCTCTAATTTTAACGTAGGCTGAGTCATTTTCATCCTACTGCTTTAAAATCAGGCTGTGGAGCATGGTCTTGTTGTGCTATGTTTGGGAAGTAGAATGAATGCTTTTTCTCTCTCTTAGATCTATGCTGCCAGGCTTTTATCATTTGGTGCTCTTGGATATAAAAATAATGTAGCCAGGGATGATTTGCAGAGTTAGTTTTATTACTGTAAGCAAAATTGAAACATAAAGGATGCCAGTGTACATTATGCAGATTGATTTATAAAAATAAATTAAATGGAAAGTATTAGTCCAATGGAAATAATTAACCTTGTTCTGACATAATTCCTTGGGGCAGAGCTTGCATTGTGTGTGCAGTACAGTTGTTCTGCAGTACTTGCTCTCTGGGTTTTGTTTCTCTGTGGCTTGCTGGTTCCTCGTCTGCCAAACCCTCTGCTGAGGCTGCAGTGGTTAATATTTTTCTAAATAAAGCACTGTCTTGTTCCCTGTTCTTGAAACTACCTGATTTGTTTTTTACAAATCTAAATACTTCCATTTGAGACAGACTCTTGGCATGGCAAATGCAGGTGGAACAGTTGTGGCCTGGCAGCGCTATAAACTCCAGAGACAGCTGTGAGGTGAAGCCCTGGCAGCAGGTAGGGCTGTTCCAAACACTGTATCTACCCCTGTACCCAGGGGGACAGAGCAGAAATACAAGGGGAACACCACAGTATGTTTGTGATTGTAGCAGGTGAGAAATATTGTACCCCTGGGTCCAGCAGGAGCATGAGAAAGCCAGAAAACTGCTGAAAGTGGCATAAATCCAAGACTGAACAAGCTTGATCTGTTTGTATACAAGATCTGGTTGTGAATCTGGATTGATCCAATTTTGCTTCTTCATATGAATTTGAATTGTAAAACAGTGGCTGATTTTTATTATTTTTACTTTGAGTTAATTTGGATCTGCATCTTGGTGACAACCTGGGTCTTTGGACAGCGTGGTCTGTAACAGAAGTGAATAAGAATGCATTACACCAGCTGATGTAGAGTTAGTTCACCTCTTAGTATGCAGAAAGTCCCAGTGCTGCCACTCCACCTGGCAGTGGAGTCATCCTGCCCTGCCACTTGGCTGTGCTGACAGAGGGAGGAAGTTGCAAGCAGTGAGAGTAGTGTTTCTAAAAAGATGCATTGTTCTTCTGAGCTTTTACAAAGCCATTTCAGTCCTACAGGTGCAAAAAAAGTTGGAGCACGAAGGTTTGGGTTGTGGGGGACCAGGAGATTGGAGGGAGGGGGTGTCTTTTAAATCAGTGAAATATGGTGCAAAGTCAGGTCCCCTCTGAAGCAGGATTGGTAATACCTCAGCTGTTCTGATGGCTCTTCACCCGCTTTCTTCTTTAAATCAGCTCCTGATGTCATTCCATGATCTGCTCCAGCACTACCTGTAGAAACTCAGCCTACATCTTCATTTCCCCAAAAGTAGCCTGTTACTCCTTGATCTGTACCGGGAAGAAGAAACCTGGATTGCTGCCTGCAAAGGGATCTGTTATGCCCACTCAGCTTTCTCCTTCTAGACTAAACAAATCCCATTCTCCCCGTTTCTCACAGAACTGAAGGACAACTGAGGCTGGGACTTCAAGAAATCCTTTAGTCCAGCTCTTCTTGTCAAAGCATGCTCCCAGTTCCCCCAGCCTCTCCCTGTATGTCAAGTGCTTCTATCCTTTCATCATCCTCGTGCCTCTTCATTACTCTCCAGCATGTCCAAGTCTCCCTGGTATTAAGTGATGTTTAATACTGGCAAATCTTGAGATTACACCAGTCCCTGTCTGGCTCCCCAGCAGAGCACTGTAGACAAATCCTGTTCCTTCCCAGTTTCTGCAGGCTGTTTTTCTGTTAGTGAAATGTTCTATAAGTCACTTCAATCTCTGCATTAACTCTTATGTAAGCTTTTCCCTGGCTGGTGACTGTGAAATGACATGCCATGAACTGCAACTGAAGAATGAAAAATAGGACTTTTTCTCTCCCTGGTACCAGCAGTTTGGTCACTTCAATCTCCCTTCACGAATATAAACTTTAAAAAGTAGAATTACAGATTTCAGAGGTAGAAGATTAAAAGATTTAGGAAATCCTAGGAAAAAATCTCCTGCTTCTGGCTGAATAGGTTGGAATCCATGTGTAGATAGAGAACTAACAGCCAAGGTTACTGTGGGATTGCAGGAACCACAGCATGTGCTTGTCAAGGAGACTGCTCTAAATGGGAGAGCAAAACTAAAACTGGGTTTGTGTGTGGTGGCAAGAATTGGGTTGTGTGAGCCAGAAGTGTCTGAGCCCGTGTCTCAGCCTCTCCCTTGCTCACTGATCTTCACCAGAAGTCTTCAACCCAAGGTTAAGTCTTCTGGTGGAGTGTTTGGCAGAGGAGTGAGCTGCCTTGCACCCAGTGCCAAGGACAGCAGTACAGAGATTTTCTGTGCTGTAGGGTCATGCTGTAGCTGACCATGGCAGCTGCTTCAGGCAGGCTGGCCCCAAAACCTATACCAGGTCCCTGGCATGTGTCTGCTCTGTGCCAGGAGCAGGATCCTGTCAGGCATGTCAGCCCAGTGGCACAAATTTTTTTCTGTACATTAGGTTTTGTGTAATCTGTGCAGCTTTGGGGCTTTATAAACAGTTTTTTTGGCAATGAAGAGAGATTGTGGTGATGGAACCGGTGTAATATGTGACTGTGAGGCACACAAAGCCCTCTGGAGAAGCAGGAGAGGACTTCAGTCTGGGTGAGGTACAGAATTACCCTGAGTTTATCAAAATGGCGTTAATCACGCAATTGATTTGTGGGAGAAGGTGTCCAGTAACAGGGTGTTTGGTGACTGATCAAGGGGTGAGATGAAGATCTGCAGCTGTTTGGGGGCAGAGTGGGGAGACAGAGTCATTGACATGTGCTCCCATGGGATTAATGTGGCAAACAGAGAGAAAACACTAGTAATGATTGGTATTCGAAAGCGGCTAATCTAGTCACTTGGAAAGTGCCAGTTTGTGTCCTTGCCTTCAGACAGGGTTTATTTTCCTATCTGTAGAATGAGAATGACAGTCCCTGCTCAGCAGCCTTGCTGTGCCATGTGCTAGCAGTCATGGCTGCTGTCACTGTCTGGAGTGACTTGTCACCATTCCTTTCCTTGGAATAGCAGCATTTCTGCTCAGCAAAGGCACAGCTAACCTAGAAGTAAAGGAGTGAAATCAGCAAGTGTGAGATTGTGCGGTGCACAGAAAGAGGAGGCAGCTTGTTCCAATAAAGCATGCGGTGGCATGTTGAGGTGGAGCTGTGAAACCAGACTGCAGGATGCAATCTAGGATGTGCCTGAGCTTTGTATGTGATAATCGGACAGCGACTGTGTTCTCTGCTGCCATGGTTGGTGGTATTTTGGAAAAGGGCTTTGTCACAAACATGCATAACTGATAACAATGGGTTCATGAACGTAAATAAAAAACAACCAAGCCCCCACCCCAGAACACAGCAGATGATGACTCTGATTTTTCTTCTGTGGAAACTCTCATTTATTGCAGAGGAGGCTGAGGCCTACATTCCAGGCAGAGCAGTCTCACACACCCATAGAATCGTTTACATAGGAAAAGACCTCTAAGATCAAATAGGCAGTTTCCAGGTGTGGTCTGCAGTGTGTTTTGATCCTGAAGCGTTGATGTGGGGCTAAGCTGTGAGGAATGAAATCCTGTGGCAGCACTAATGGCTCCCTGAGGTCACCCAGAGCTGGATCTTGGCTTCGGGCAGCAGCCGAAGCGATCCTGTGCAACTGGACAGGAGCTGGGAGTGAGTGGTGCCTGTTGTTCGATGGGGATGGCTCAGGCTCGGCCATCGTAACAAACGGTCAGTCATGAAGGACCCTCGGCCGCAGGGGCCCGCCCAGCACCGCACGGCCCCGGAGCGGGCTCAGCTGCCGAGGGGTGCTTCCTATGGAGGCTGGTGCTCGCCCTCTGGCCGACGGGCGGCCGTGCAGGGTGTGCCGGAATTCGTGGAACGTGCTGTCTGGCGGCTGAGGCGAGGGCAGCGACATCCCGGTGCCGAGGCGGCCCCTGCCGTGGCCCTGGGCCGGCCGGAGCGGCGGGCCCCCGCGGGCCCCCGAGCCGCTCCCCGGGCCAGCGGGGCTCCGCGCACGCGCCGAGCGGGGCTCCCCAGCGCCGGGGCTGTGCCCTGTGCTGGTACCGGGCGGAGCTGATCGTCAGCGCTGCTGCACAGCACAGATCCGCCTCGGGGGCTGTCCGTGGGAGCGTTCTGTAACCAGCTCCACACCGAGCAGCGCTCCCCGCCTCACCCTCCCCTCATGCAGGGACGTTGTGGGGCTCAGTCTCCTGAGGTACAGCAGCGTTCAGGCACAGGCGTTCCATTACAGTAACATCTGCTTCATCCAGTGCCCAGAGGGATAAAATAACTGTAAGGGGATGCTGCTTCTTTTTTAACACTTTGTCTTTTACCACTTGGGTAAGAGCCTTTGTTCCAAACCCAGTCCAAGCTGCCTTTGAAATCAGCGCTGTTGTGATTGCACCCTCGTGCACTGCATTATTTCCTTTCTTTTTCAGACAGTCTCATTCTGTTCCTCCCCTTACTAAGGCGGGCAAGCCCCGGGGTGTTGGCAGCGCTGCGGTGTGACAGCGGCAGCCCGGGCAGGCGATCCATGCGGTGATCCCGGCCATCCACGCGGGGATTGAGTCACTCGCACAAGGTCACGCGAATCGCTGGCGCCGCCAGGAATAGCACCCGGAGCCTCCCGGCTCTCTCGAGCCCACCCTCGGCACTCCAGCCCGAATTCCCCTGGTGAGCATGATGTGATTCATAATGCAGCAGCTCTGCTGGGAGGCTGGCTACCTCTGCCATCCCGCTGCGGCTGCAGAGCAAAGCAGCCAGGCTCAGACAGCGACAGAGATTGCACATGCTTGTAGCAAAAAATCTAAACCCCAGAAATGGTATTTAGCAGCTTATCTATAGATAAAATGTACCAAATGGTTAAAAATAGGTTTTAAGGTTCTTGGCATACGTCTTGAACTTTATATTCTTTGGGTTTTGCTGCAGTACAAAAATACCATTTTAATTACTCTGATTCTTATTGGCTTTTTCTGGTCTTTTTGTAAAAGTACCAAATTATCGATGGGTGTTTTTTGCTTTTAATTGTGCCTCTTGAGTGCTAAACCTGTTCCTGCTATTTGCTTGCAGTATGTTTAGGCTATGTTTAGGCAAATGCAAATGTAAGTGGTTATTCAGTGCCTTTGGCACTCTGAACAGAATGTACTGAACTCCTGGGGCTTGGTACAAAGCCTCGGCCTCCAGCATTAACAAAGCCTATGCAGGCAGCAGCTAAAATGTGAGAAATACCTGTGCTTGGCAGAGGGGATTTGGAGTAGCTGGGAGGACCGTGGATCATGTGCCTAGCTTTTGTCCTATGGACTGGGTAAATGGAATGAGGGCACTCCTGCCCACATGCTGTTAGCTGAAGGTGCTCTGGAGGTCTGGCCACGCTCACCCTGTAGTGCTGGAGCTGGCTGGCTTCAGCATGGGGCCTGTGGAGCCTTAACAGTGGGGAGTTTGCCAGCGAGGTTCCTTGCTGGCTGTATCAACAGTCAGCTCAGTGTGTTCCTGAAGCATAATGGAGGCTTTCCTTGGACAAACACCACGGCGCTGGAAGTGAAGAGAGCCAGCACGGTGCCACTGCCTGCTGTGTGTCCATTGGCAGCAGCTCGGGATTTTTACAGTTGTTTGCCTTCTTACCCAACCTATTTTAAGCTCTGATGGAATAAGGATGGCATTTGATCACAGTACTGGGCACAACTGCTTGGCTTTTATAACCCATGTTTTAAACCGGAGGTTTTTCCATGTGTGTTTGTGTCTTCAAATAACTTCAGGCTTGTGGCTTTAGACTTGGTGCTCTCTGCTGGCCTTTGCCATGGCCTGACAAGAGAGATCCTATCTCGCTCCATTGGGTGCTGGTTACTGAGGTGAGGACCCCTCAGAGGAAGTGGAGAGTGATGATTGGGGGGCACATAGAACAGAGCATTTCTGAGCCTCCATCCTGGGTCTAGGTCTCCTGATGGAAGTTGAAGATGTCTTTGTAACTCTGTCTCTTTATTTGTCATCTCTTCAGGTGTGCCTGTGTCTCCTGATCTTGGGTTTATTGAGCAGGTGGCACACTATGTAAAGACTTTAATATCGGGTACTACAGGATAAATATCTCCCATTGTGGCAGCGATCAGCTGCTAATGCTGGGTCTAACACTGGTTCAGTGTTCATGTGCCTCTAGCACACGGAATGAACAGCCTCCATCTACCATGTCATGTACACATAAAACTGGTGCTCTGTGTTTTACTCTCAGGTCTGAGACTTCTTCAAGCAATGTGTCCTGCAAGGTCGGTTCCACACTTTTCAGTGGTGCATTTGTGGTTATGGTGAAGCTTAGTCTTGTGTCACTTGTTTCAATGCTGTGCAGAGCAAAGCAGCAGGCTTGCTGCTTCCTGCAAGTAACTGCAACCAGGAGATGGAGGTTTGCCCTCTGGGAGGAAAACCAGGAATGTCATTAACAGGAAGTCGGGAGAAAAGGAACCTCTTGGCGGAGAGAGGGACAGTACAGAGAGGAGGAGAGGCAGGGACCAGGATGCCTGTCATAGGTGTCTTTTGTCTCCTTACGTCATAACTTGAGAAAGTCTGGAAGCCAAATCACCAAAGCTGCTGTTTTAAGCTGTCTTTGAGTGGAAAGGAAATCCATGAGATATCCCTGCTTTATTCTGTATGAGTGCTTTCTAAGGCCCATGTAGATAACTGATATCCATAAAACAAACATGCATTAGTTGTCATTTGAAATTACATTTCTGCCTGTATATTTTCCTGCTTTCCTGTTTTGATGGCCAAGTTTTTATAAAACCTCAGCTTTTGGTTTTATATTTCTGAGCTGCACATATATATACCAGCTTCAGGGCAATTGTGCACCACATTTATACACACAAATATCTGATACCCGTGACACCCTGCAATTGGGGTAGGAGCCCTCACTCAGCCTTTAAAGCTGGAGCCCAGCTGGGGGCTGCTGGGCCACTGTGCTGGTGCTGTGTGTGTGAGGGACAATCACCTTTTACATGACGTGAAATTACAGCTGATGAAACCTCCACCTGTGTATAATGTAGGTTAGAAGGAAATCTGGAATAGCTGGCATGTTACAGTGAACTACAGTTTGTTCTGTTGGGGTCCCAGGGATGGCTCGTTACTGCAAATGCTGTTTCTCTCTGGAAAACCTTTACTTGCAGTAAAGAGGCAAACTGTAGTGATTTGGCTGAATGCATAACATCCCAAAAGTAACTCTGCAGTCCCTAAAGACAAGGCTGTTTGAGTCAGCTTTTAATGAGAAGAATACAAAGAATTTGATCCTTTAAAAATCTAGCTTAATTCATTGTCTAATTTTAGAGTACAGCTCCTCTACTACAGATCCTATCTGAGGGACAGCTCAGAATCACTGAAGCCAAGGCCAACATCCTATCCCATCCTGGTTTCACTAAATCAGATTTATTTTGTTCCCCCAGTGGATCTTATTCTTACAAATACTTCATTGCTGTGTCCTTTCTGTTGTTTTCAGGATTATGAACCTTTCTGCAGCAAGATCTGAAACAGCCAGATTCCAATTTAAATCAAAGTCCCTAGGATTCACTTGTGATTTCCAGTAAGGCTTCTTTAAGGTATTTATGATTAACATTATAATGTTATAAACATTTATTGTGGGTGTCTGAAATGCCATAGGAATTTTCTGCTGACCTTACAAAAACTTGTTACACTTCAGTACCCTTTGCTTATGATTTCCAAAACGACCTGTGTCCTGTAAAAGCAATTCTTCACAAAGATTTGAACGTGTTTTCCAGCACTCCCTGGGGGTGTCCTTGATCCAAGCTCTGGTTTAGTGTGTGTGCATAAGAAGCTGAAAGACAAACTGATTGCTTTCTGCAGCTCACCTCCATTTTTCCTCTTGTGCTAATGGCCATAAAGCAGACAAGTAATTGAGAAATGGGAGATGAAGACAGGGCTGTGTATGTATTTGTGAGAGCTGGTTGTCCTTCCTCCTCCTCTCCTCTTTACTCAGCTGTTAATGGATTTGGATCCGAAATGGAGAATTTTTGTCTGGCTGACAGCTGCCCTTGGCACTGCAGCTGCCACTGGCCCAGGGCTCCTGGCCCCGGACAGGCCACCTGTCCTGCTGTCCCTGCAGCAGCTGGCTCTGGGTGACCAGCCTGCTTTACCTAAAGGCTGATACATCCATGGGCTGTGACACGAGCAGCTGGAGGCTTTGGAGCCTGCAAAAAACAACAGAGTTGGGTTTTGTTGCATTTTGAGGTCTTTCTGGGGAAGGCAAAAGCAACACTCTGGCTTTCCTTATTTGTGTGGTCCTGATGTGCAGTATGGAGAGTTGCAAAGCACGATGGGAGCAGACAGTGTTTGTGCTGGTGACAGGGGTCGAAATGTTTCCTGTCATGGAAAAGATGAACTAGCCAGTTCCACATCACCTTTCTTTTCTGAGACCTGTGAGTACTGTCAGTTCCTGCTATTTTAATTCATGAGCTTGCTGCTCTGTGTGGTATTAACACCATGGCTGTGCGTGGTCCAGTGTCACTTTCCCAGGAGTGGATGAAGGGGGGGGAGAGGGCACAAGCTTCTGGCACTCCCTCCTCCTGTCTCTTGCCCTTCACAGTTTGCTGTGTTGTGCCCTGCTCAAGCTAAAGCAGGGACAGGAGAGCACAGAAACCACGATGGCAGCAGAGGAGGATGGCATAAAAGGACCTAAGGGAGAGGAAATGCAGGTACCACAGGTAGAGAAGGCCAGGATGCCATGCTTGGTGCCAAAAATCTTGTTTATAGTCGTGGTCAGCACCCTCTGCTGAGGAAAGAACAGACCTCCAGAAGTGTTCTCTGTCGTGCCTGGCCACAGTAGTCCATACCTCGAGCAAGGAAAAAGCCATCCCTTCCTCCTGATGGGTGGAGGAACTTTCCCCATCCTGAAGAAACCCCCTCCACATGTGTCCCCTGTAGGGGCACTACAGGAGTCAAACTCCTGCTCAGGAAAGCTCCAAGGGAGGGTAGTGAAAGGCCAGAGATAAGCTCACCTGATGCAGCTCTGGGCTTTTGGAAGCTCATGTTGCCAGTCAGACATGATGTATAAACCTCATTCAACTGGCAGAGGATGCTGTACTGATGGATGGAGTCTCTGTAAGGATGAAATAGTCAACTAAACTCTGCTTCTGAAGGCCTTACACATGTGGAAAAGAGCAGCTGTATTTGCTGGGACAACTAGTAGATGCAGAACCATCAGTCTCTGACCAGGAAGCACTGAAATACTAAATAGAAGAACTTGCAGGTTCTTTTTGAGGTTATATTTTCTTGCTACAATTGTAGGCAAAGAGGGCTGGATTTTTCTTGGCCATACACCTACAGTGGAGAGCCGTGGATGCGTTTGCCATTCTTATGGGCAGTCAGTATCAGGGTTGGCTGAACAGCAGCTTGTGCGGATGCACCAGGTGTTTGTTTTGCTCACAAACTTGGAGAATAAGATGCTGATTGCTCTTAAGGCTGTTCTTTTCATAGGTGTTCTGAAAGGGACAGTTGGACAGAAATCCCCTTTAGTGAATCTAAGACACTTGGGTCTCTTTTATTGTCAAGGAGGGAAGATGGCCTAATTATCTCTGCTGTAGTTGTTGCCCAAATCGGTGGTGCATCTCTTGAGCCAACAGATACCCCTTGCAGCAGATGTTGGTGGATACAGAACCAGACCGCCTGGAGTTTCCTTTCCTTTTGCTTCCTTGGGAGCAGGGACTTCTCCCAGCCACCCTTAGCCAGCACGAGCTGCTCTTTCATAGGCTGATGGATCCTTAACCAGCCCGGTGGCTCTGTGTCTGCTCAGTTTGCCCTGTGTTATCCAGCTTACTCAGCAGCAATGAAGTTTTCTACTGCTTGATACCTTGAAAGTCTCCTCAAGTACATGGGGCAGGTCCTTCAGGAAGAGAAGCAGTGATTCAGTGCTGGAGCTGGCAGAGCCTGCCCATTCTTTATACTAGAGCTTGTTCTTCTGTGTGTTTGTGCACTCTTGCATATCTCTTCTCCAGCATTTTATCTCCCTCTTCTCTTTAGTGCTTTATCTCACTGCTGCTCTTTAGTGCCCATTATGTCTTGTCAGCTCTCTGGCTACAGAGTGGAGGACACTCTTTGGGGAAGTGCTGAGAATCGGCCTCCTCTGGCTTCTTCAGGAGTGCTGCACATGTGGGTGATGAGTGTTTCATGTCAATGTGCTTCTCTTACTGTGGCCATATAATACACACATAATCTTGCTGCTGTAGGCTTCTCTAGTACACCCCAGCCTTTGGTTTTCCCGTCCCTGCCTGGGCTCTCTTTTGCAAGCAGCTGAAGGTGAGTAGCCTGGCTGCTGGCTGGCTGCATCCACCATCCTGATTAACTTTCCTCTTTCATTCATTAATGGGTGCATACCCACCCATCTGGAAATCATTCTCCACCTCTGGTTGTGAGTGATACCTGTGTGTTTGGTTCGTCTTCCACCTCATGGCCCTGACTCTCCTCCCATTCCTAAACAGCATGGCTCTGCTGCACACAAGAAAATCACACCACAGGCTGGAGTGAGCCAGGAAGTCTTGTCCCCAAGTGGCTTTATGCTCTTCAAAGATACCTGAAGGAGCCAGAGAAGGTGAGTGGTGTCCAGAATATACAAATGCAGGTGTGTGACAAATGAACTAGTTGTCCATCTTTTGGTGAAATGAATAAAGCAGGTGTACCCAGACAGACAGGGTACTGGTGAGGGACTTCCTTGGTGCCTTTGGCTGCAGGAAGCATCTGCCAAACTGGGAGCCTGATGGGCAGAGCCCAAACTCACCTTTGCCCCCAGTGCCACATTATTGCTTGTGGGCTCCTGCCCTCAGCCTGTGGTAACAGAAGATGAGTAGCTGGCAGGAAGGTAGCAAGAATGTGCTACTTAAACATAGGTTGCTAATGGCTGTGTTCCCAGTGCCCAGATGTGTGGCTGCTCTGGGATGCCGGGACCTCCCTCTCTGCTGCAGTAGACACTGCTATTATTAGCTTAGTGGCAGCTTTCCATATGCCAACACTCGTGACTGCAGGACTATTTAATTTTCACTTCTCTGAATTATTTAATTTGTCAGCTGTTGGCTGCTATTCATTAAGGGCCAAATGCCAAAGTCCTTACCTAGATTTTTTACTCTCTTAGGGCTGAGGCATGAATCCTGTCTGAACAGACCATTCTATCTGGGCAGGATCGGAGGCAGGATAAGGTCTTGAATCTAGAAAGTCAATCATTACTAGGCTAATCAGTAGAAAACCCTCGTCTTCAGGGATAGGTGTCTAATCTCCCTTCTTCTGGTAATTTCTGTTTGGAGAAATGAACCATCAGTTCTGCTAAAAACACTACCACTCCTCTTTTGGAGCTGGACTGTGTGGATGAGGTGTGCGGTTGCTGGTGCCTGGCTGCAGGTCCTGGTCCCTCTCTGATGTGAAGAGCTGCTGCTGTGAGCAAATCACCCTGTGATTCACTGCTGGGGGCCTCTCTTTAATTATTGAGTGCCAGAATAGATGTATATTGAGTTACCTTGCTGGCAAATATCATCTCCAGCATCTCGTGTAACTCTACAATATTCTTGGTTTTTCTACTTGCATAACATGGTCTCTTTCAAAGAATCTAAAATAAGTCAAAAGGTGGGTTTATATATTGCTTCTCTAGTGGTACATGTTTCCAGAGAACAACAGGTTGTACACTGGTTCTGAGGGCAGTCTTCCCTGGCAGCATGGATTGCTCTTCTATCAAGTCAAGTCTGCACTTGGATGTGCAGCGGGATGAAGCAGGATGTGTACGGCGTGTTTTCAAACCAACCAACCAAAGAAAACCAAAACCCAACCTCCCAAAAAACTCAGAAAAGGAGAGAGCAGCCTAATTTTGCTCTCACTGCTCTGAAGTATTCCATTTGTCCACTGTTGTTGTGGAAGACCTGGCTGACCTGTCTTAAGGGCACTGCAGCCTCTAGTTCTGGACGGTGGTGCATGACCAGAAGGTTGCCTGCATCTGTGCAGGGCCATACTGGAGTCACTGGAAGGAGCACATGGAGGTGTGGGGGAAGAGAAAACCAACATACATGTTTGTAATCTTTCCCAGCTTGCAGAGAGGCATATGGCTGCCAGAGTTCCCTCATCCCTCCTCTGTCCTGCTGTCACACACAGGCTGTGAGCAGCAGTTGAGAAATTGGCCTCGGATCCCTTGACCTTTAGTTCCCATAAAATCCTCTGGATAAGGTAGTCTAGAGTGCTCACAGCCACGATACAACTTTTATATATGTTCTCTCTAAGTATAGCAAGCAAAACTTGTCATTCCTTATTTTGCAAAAGAAAAAAACCTCCTGAATTTCATATAATCCTGGTGACAGTTTACAAAAGAAAGGAAAAACATTACCCAATGCCTAAATGGAAGGAAAGGCAATGCTGTGGTTAGTCGAACACTTTGTCATTCACAGGTTTCAGGGAATTTCAGGTGGCAGGCAGGAGTCGTGAGCCCCAGGTCCCTCCTGTGTGACGCCCCAGGTCTGTCTCGACAGCAGTGCTGGCCGGTGCTGACAGAGTAACTTCAGCTGGGATCTGTGGTACTGCTGTGTCCCTGGCTGCTGAGAGCAGGGAAGGAGGGCTCCATCTACTGCTGTGCGGGGAGAAGGCAAAAATAACCGGGATGGCATTCCTCTGCTGCACAGAAAAGCTACTGGGTACATGAACTCCAGGTACTTTTTTTTTTTTTTTTTTCTCCCTGTGGCTTTCAGAGCCCTCCACATGCAATCTAGTTCCCTGCCTGGGACACTGCACAGCTCTGTAGCTGGAGACAATCCACACTTGGCCATCATGGCACAGCAGGCAGGGGGTTGGAGAAAGCAGCAGGAAAACAAAGTGACTTGTACATGCACAGAGAGAATTGGGAGCAGAACCAGAAACGAGTCCTGATTTCCAGTCTGTTTCTCTGACAGGATGGGGTTCATGCTCCAAAACGTGTTGAATGCAGAGAGTTCTTGGAGGACTGCTGGAGCAGGGATGAGTTCTGGATAACACATAGTTCTGTGGCTTTTTGCTTGGTTTGCCACTGCTCTGTTTTGAACTTCCTGTCCGTGTACAGGCAGAGCTGTTTCCTCTGTACGTGCGTGTGCACAGCATTTCTGGGAGGACTGAGCCCTGCACAAGCCGTAGGTCTCTCTCCAAGCTCGGGGATGCAGAGAGGGGTGGGAGCTCTGAACCCATGGCCATGTGAGAGTTCTGCAAAGCATATTCAGGCCTCGATATTTCCCACTAAAATCCCACCCTCTGCTCTGCTGTTGTGCTGTAATAGTGGAGTGGGTTGTCCAAAGCAGCTGTGGCTGCCCCATCCCTGGAAGTGTTCGAGGCCAGGTTGGATGAGGCTTAGAGTAACCTGGCCTAGTGGAAAGTGTCCCCACTGATGGTTTGGGGTGGTGGACAAGATGATTTTTAAGGATCTCTTCCAGCCCAAACCAGTCTGTGATTCCATATTGAAAACTGAGAATTTTCCCCTGCCCTTTATCCTTGGATTCAGCTGAATTAAGCCCCACTGTGCTGGGTGAGATACTGTTAAACATAGCTGGTACTGCCCAGGTTGAATAGCTCCTGAAGGACAATGTGTACAGTGTGGGTCTAGAAAAACAGATTTCAGGATTTAGAGTATGTGGAAAAGGTGCTAATGTTCCTCTGCTGGTAGTGAGAACACATTATTCGGTGCTTGCAAGGCACATCAGAAGTGTCTGGATCCTTAGGCTTCCACAAAAAGCTTCACTGATAGTTCTGCACTGATGGCAGAAAGAGTTTGTGCTTATGTTACTTGACTGAGAGAGCTTGTCTCGAGTTATGTGAACAGATGTTTCAGATTTGAGTTCAGTCTGGCAGAAAAGGGATAACAGAAAAGGGATAAGTATAGTCCCCAGCATTTCCCATCTTTTGCCTGGGAAAAAAAAATCAGCAGTGATTTTCTTTTTTTTTTTTTTCTGGATTTTACTTTACCATGAAACTGAAATGCAAACTCTTGGAAAGGAGGAGAGATTCACTTTTATTCAGCCCACTACTTCTAGTTCACACCTGTTTGCTCAGCTGCCTTTTACTTCATGTTTTCACCTGTAGAGCTGCAGTTATCTCTGATAAACATCACAAGCCCCCCAAGTCCCCCTCTCAGAAGACATGGTCTGCTTTCCACATCTTGGTGTGTGTTACACAGCCAGGCAGCCCTTCGTGTAGCAGCTGGTGTGCTGCAGCAAGAGGAACAGCAAAAGAAACTAAAGAAGTAAAATACTTCTCCTGACACAGCTGTCAACAATTACACTGTGTGAGGCTTCACTGGCAGAGGTTAGAGAGAAGCCCAGAGAAATCTGAAACAGCTTTCAAAAGAAAGCACTGAAAATATGTGCCAGAAACCAAGGAATAGATTGCAGATGGCAAATATACGTCTCCACGGACTGTCAGGGAAGAATTTGGTTTGACAATGGCTGTGATCTACCATGTTGCTGCTGAATCAGGCTGAGAGCAGCAATGTACAGAAATAATTAAGTCAGATAAGCGGGCCCCATACAGATTTTTTTTGGAGAGTTCACCCATATATTCAGTGGACAGATCCCACAGACTGCTGGGAGGTGGAGGACCCTCCACCCTTGCTGACATTGCTGTGTTGTGATGCTGACAATAGGCTGGCATCCTGTTGTCAGTAAACCCTAGGGACCTGTTTTAGGGCAGAAGATGTTGTTGTTGCTCCCAGTCTGGGACAGGGCAGCGAAATGGTCTGTTGAGGCTGGAGAGCAGTGAATGGTGACAGTGGAATGAATGACATGTTGAAAAGTGCCCTTGGCATGTCCCTGCAGAGCTGGAGAAGATCAGATCTGCTGTGAGCAGTTAATGAAGAGATAAAAAGCGAGGGGAGTGCTTGCACCCAGCACCGGGAGCGTGCGGGGCGCTGGGGACTGCGGGCACAGGCTGGCCCACCCCATCGATGGGGGAATGAATCCTCTTGGTTGGGGTTTAGCCAGTGACCCTGGTGGCTGAGCTGCTGGCTGAACGTGGCCATGAACAGCTTCTCAGAGGCCATGAAATCTCTGGAACTGGAGGAAGCAGAGCTGAACATCTGCGTGTGCTCCCCGGGACTACTGCAGCCAGCGTGGCAGAGCTGTCCCCATCCTCAGGCCAACCTGGCCTCAGCTGGGAGCTCTCTCGGCAGTGAAGGAGCACAGAAGGAGTCAGTTGATTGTAGGCCTTCCTTTATGTGGCATCAGGGTCGTGCTGTAGGCAGTCTGTGGAAGTTTGCTGTTGTTGCAGCAGTGTTTGTATCTTAGTCCCTCAGCTTCCCAGGGCTTTCAGCACTGTGCAATGTGAGGAGTAGCTTGCCTTTTCCTTGGTCACCCCTTTCTTTCACAAAGCATCTGCTGGATTCTCCCAAATTAATAATTTATTCAACTCTCTCACACTGCAGCCTAAACCTTGCCCATGGTGATGCAGCCCACTAACAACAGCAGGTTTGAATAAGGCTGAAAGTTCCCCAGGTTCTGGGAGAAGATTCTGGAATTGTCCCCATTGCTGTGCCTGGGGGAGAGCTCGAGGGTCCAGACCACTACAGTAGGAGATGGGGATCCGTGGGGCGCAGTGAGCACGTATGAAGTCGCATCTGAAATAGCTGAACTGTAATGTTTTCTCTTGAAAGAAGTGCTGAGAGAGGCCACAGATGCTTCCTTTCTGTGACTCAGAAACTTGCAAGTCTTCTTTGATTCACACCTTATAAGTAAAATTAGCCTGTGCCTCACTGTTGCCAAACATTTTCAAAGCAAAGATACTTGTACAAAGGAATTCAGCAACAGAAATGGAATTTGCTCGTGGATCAGATTACTGTTATTTCTGACTGGGAGCAGCACCAGAAATACTTGCAAGGATTTCCACTTTGCCTTTGGAAAGGTGTGCATGTTGTTGCCAGAAAAGTAGCTATTTGGGAGGATAATTCACATATGTTAGGGGACAGGGAGAGGGATGAGCCCCATGAGGCCGCTGCAGTCATGAGTACAAGTGTTCAGCTTCACACTGTCACTTTGGAACAGGGATCTTCAGCTGTCGCTGTCAGGAATGTTGTGACATGAGCTGCAATTGCTACTGCTCAGATGATGTTTTTAGTCCAAGGTCTGAGCTTTCACTCAGTCTGGTTCTTGATGCTGCTTGTCCCAGGATCTCGGCATCCCACAGAGCTGTCAGACATCTTCCTGCACGTGGGGACTCTGCAGACAGGACTTAATGAAAGGAAGGATTTTCTTGGCATTTAAATTTGTCACATCATTTGTCACAATCATTTGTCACATTGTTGACTGTTATGTTACCTTGAAACATGAACTTACCATCAGTTGGGAGCATTGGCCAAAAAAATCTGGTATTTTAAATCCATGCTGGTCAGGGTCTATATTTTGCAGACAGCTGTAAGCAAGGCCTCAGTCCCCGTGATGATGTTCTCCTTGAGGATGGAGCTTGATCCATCCATGGAGCAGGGCTTGAAGGCCAGTGGACCCAGGCAGCCCTCAGAGGGGGGTTCCAGGCCCCCAAGCCTGTCTGCCCACTGGCAGCAACAGCAGAATGTCACGGTCCCCTCTGAATGCCAGGATGGAGCAGATGTCCCCAACATTGTCAGCTGCCTGGGGTAGGCAATGACAGCCGTGACCCGTGGGCTTGGAATTCAGAAACCTGATTGCTCGTAGTCTACAGGGGGGACTTTTAGAATAAAACCACAGGGCTCTGATTGTACCCCGAAACGGTGATATAAATGGTGGAAGGAACAGGTGTCTGTAGTGTACTATAGAGCTATGGAATGTGTGTAGTATAATACATATAATACACATTTCTATTCCGGGCAAACTGATAGTTTAAAGCAAATGAGTAAAAAAGGATTTTACTTAAGAAAAAGTTAGGCATGTTACATTGGAAATAGGACTGGTTATATTACTTTACACCAAAATAATATCCTTGATATCTCTGGGTGTGAAGTGAAATCTTGCTAAGCAATGACGCATTTTTGTGTTCATCCTGACCATGTTTGTTCCTTCTGCTGAATGGACTGTGCACAGAGAAGTGTCTCCAAAGAGTGAATTTTTTGGCCCTTTGGAAATGTATGAACAGGACAGCACCATATGGACTTGGCATGCCCCAGGGATGGCTGTGGGAGCCTGGGAACATTCCGTGCCTGCAGCAAGTGTAGGAAGAAGGAAGGAGGAGAGCAGAGTGAGAGGCTGCAGGGAGCTGTGTGGGGATGGCACTGAGCAACACGGCTGCACTGGCAGGGCCCAGCCATGACCAGGTCTCCATCACAGCTGAGGTGAGAAACAGGCCTTGTACCATGCCCCTTCCTGCCTCATGGGTCACAGCAGAATTGGGAGATTCCTGCGAAGGGCCACGGGCAACGTCTGGAGCAGAGGCTGCAGATAAAATTGCTGTCCAGAGCAAAAACAAGGCAAGTGCTGAAGGAAGGGATGGAAGAGAGGCTGGCTTTGTAAGCTCAGTGCTGTCAGCAATCAGAGGCTTCAGCTGTGTGTAGAGGTGGGAGCATGCCATGGCTTTTCAAAATGTACCACCATGAGGCGATGTATTTATGGCTCAGAAACTCCCAGTGTTGTACTGAACAATGAATTAAAGATGAAACCATAGAGCTCTTGCACAAACTGCAGGTGAGCATAGGGCAGGTGAGCCCAGAGCAGGTGTGCTCCTCACAGGCAGACAGGCACACACTGAATACGTGCATAGAGGGCCTGCAAGAGGTGCACGCAGCCATATCCTGCACAGCAAGTCTGAAGCATATTTCTCTGAGGCAGAGGCAGAGCAATTGTTGCTTCACTGCCCTGACTTGCAGCTGTAATGGCACCACATTGGGTCTCTCATTCTGGATCTTAGAGAAAAACACCCTCAACTTGTAAATAACACATACAGTTAAATAGGGTTTGTTTTCTGCTGCCCCAAGTGTGTGGTGCATCTCAGGGGGGTCAAGGGAAAGGTTCACATGACTTTCAGCAGGTGTTGCCCACCTTATGTTCTGATTCACTTGCAAGATGTGCTCATTAGAGGCTGGGCTTGTGCCCCACTCTGGCAGCCTGAGCTGGTGTTGAGCATTTGATGCTTTCACTCCCTGACTTGTTAACACAGGCATCTCCTTTTGCTCAGAACAGCAGCAGCACCAGCCTGACATCACCGACAGAGGTACCTGCACAAAGGACCAGGTAATGCCACGCCACTGCCCCTCATGGTTTCTGAAGAGCTGTGTCCTGTGTTCATGCACTGGTGATGGTTAGTGATGGTTCCTGTGCCCTGGCATTGAATATCACATCCCATTTTTGTGAAATGATGCTGATTTGCAGGCACAAGATCTCTTCAGATCTGTGCCTACCCCAGTAACTGCTGTGAACAGCACAAGCCCTGGCAGAGGTGCCAGAATCCCCCTGTTTGTGAGGTATGCCAAGCTAGCAGGGCTCCTGCTTGTGGAGCAGGAAGAAGCATGAATGGGAGTGGATTGTAGAATTATTTCAGTCAAGAAAATTCAGGGATGTTAATTGCTGAACTGTCATCAATTTCAGTGACTGCAGAGCACAATTAGCCTCTAATTTTAGTTTCATGCTAATGCCATTGTCAGTTCTCTCTGTGCAGCAGGTGATGTGGTTTTAGATGTGTCTCTGCAACTGCTTTGTGCAGGGAGTTGGTTCCTAGAACCTGACACCCAGCAGGGGAATCAGGCCAGTGTTTGGAAATGCTTTGAAAGGCCCTGGGGTTTTTATATGATTTGTTTTACTGCTGTCCCACTGCTGCCACTCCATGACCCACACGGGCACCAGCACAGTTTTCCCTCAGCCGATGCCCCACTTGGCAAAAGATAAAGCTCAGCACAGTCCTGTTGGGGCACTGGCTCAGAGCTGAAGTGGGAGGCTGCTCGTGGCAGGGTGCCGTAGCCATGGGCCGCTCCAGTCCCATACCTGTGAGCAGCGAGGAAGGACTGGGGTGTCCCTCAGGCAGTGGCCTCCTGTGGCTCTCTGCTGTGTGTCCCTGGGACATGCCAGGAAGGAGGGCCAGCTCTGTCCCACTGCTGCTGGCATGGTCCCAGTGCAGCTGGCTGCTCTCCTGGCTGTGCCATGCTGTGCTCCAGGCCCAGCCTGCCCAGAGCCAGCGGCACTGCCGAGGGCAGGAATTCCCACTGCCACTGTGTTGTGCATCCTTCTGCTCTCAGGTGTCCCCGTGTTATCCCTCATGGATCTTGAACTGGTGTAAAAGTGGGGCCTAGTGGGGTAGCCTGGGCCCTCTGGAGACACCTGGGCACAGTTGAGTTTGGAGCACAGTGGGGAGGTTGGTTCTTTTCTGGAAGATACCAAACACGTAGATGGGAGCATGTGGGAGCTGAATGCCAGCATTCCTGCCAGGAGCTCAGCACCTCCATCCATCAGACCCATGGGGTGGAAAAAATGTCCAGGGAACATAGAAGTTTATTTAAACATGTATTTGATGTTAGTGAGTGGACCCACAGCAGTGGTTTTTCTGACTTTGAAGCTGGTTGCTGGCATAGAGCAGCTGAGCTTTATTTGCAGATAATTGTTCTCCAGTGCGTTTGAAGGTGGGAACATAGTGACATGTTAGCTGTTGACATGGTCTGGGCTTCCCTGTTGCACTCTCAGCCATCCTGGAGGATGCACAGAGGCTGGAGGATGACAGGAATGCCATAACAGGTTTTCCACAAAGACAGCAGAACTCTGTGAAGCTTCAGAGACCTCCACTGGCTCGTGCTGCTTCTGAGACGTCCAAGACGATGGTCACTTATAAGTCCTTACAGCTCCTTATTGAAAGTCTGAAGGCTTTGTTTTCCAACAGAAGAACCTTTTCTGGCATTATTTGTGCTGGAGTGACCTTCAGACTGCTGCTAAAAATTGACAGCAGAGTAGATATGATAGCACTGTCAAGGAATGGATAATCTCCCATCTTTAAATACACTTTCTATTTATGTTGGCCAGGTACAGACTTCTCAGGATTTTACCTGCTATCCCAGACTAACACTTCAGAAGTGCCACCAAGGAAACTTCTCTGCAAATCTCTTTCTATTTCAAAACTTCTTAACTGAATAATGTGAGTGGCCAGATACATTCCTGCCTGTTGAAGCTCACAATAGAAGAATGTTCAAAAGGAAAAGGAAAATATTTGGAAAGTATTTTTTTTACTATCACACAGACCTGGAAATTGTATCAGCTGAGGAGATACACCAGTTGTTCCTTCGGCTACATTTTTTGTGGTTAGTTTATTTTTCATGTTTATCAGAATGTTTCAGTTCATACCTGAGGCACCTCAATCTCTGCAAGTGTTGGGTTCCCCCAGGAGGGGCCAGAGGCTCTGTGTGCCCCCAGATTGGCCAGCAGACATCTGCCTTGTGTTAGGGGAAACATGATCTTCCTGCCAGCTCGGACCCACGGGTGGGGATGGGAACACTGTGAAAACCTCTGCTTAAACACACACAGAACTCAGTGTTTCAGGATAAATAAGCAAAATATACAAAGAAATAAGTTGCCTCCATTTTATCAGCAAAAAAGATGAGCATTTTTCAGGAAAAAAATGATGTTGTTCCACACCCTTTTGTAGAAGCTGCTGGGGATGCTGGATTGGTCTCTATCCATGGGGTCCAGGCCACAAAGGGATGGTGGAGACTGCCTTGGCTTTACCATCTGACTCCAGATCTGGCTTCTGGATTTCTCTGCCTGTGCAATCACCAGGGCCTAGCTGGAGTTAATTGAATTAAATGGGACACTTGCCAGGGACACCAGTTATCTCTTGCAGTCATTAGCACAAGAACAGTGTAAGGATTAGCTCTTGTTTGCTGTCTCAGGTGTTAGTGGCAATATACCAGCTGACAAGTTAAGGTCTTGTCAGCAGCAGCACGTTCTGGAAGAGGCAGGAGCTTCTCTGGCTGATAACATACATATCAGTGTTTAAAAACACAAGTATTCTTCACTTCAAATAGTTTAATGAGTTTCATTTCTTCTCTTTTCAGCTGGCAACCTGCCCTGCAATTTCCAGGGACAGCAAACCTGTGAGACAGATGCACTCACTGTGTGACTGAGGATGCTCTCCAGCCCTGCTGAGCCAGCCCTGGGAGCGGGGCTGTGTGTGGGGTGAGTGACGCGGGGGAGTCACACGAACTCTGCAGTGGGAGAGGGAGGAGCTGGACTTTTGGATTCTGAAGGATATTGCTCTGATAAATAATGAACAGATTTAGCTACTGCAGGAAAGTGTGGGGATTTGTGGTTTGCTGTTTTGGATGAGAAGTCCTGGTCTTGAAGGTCTGTACGATTACTGAGGAAGCAATGGGCACGTGCCCGTGTCGCACCCACAACAGTGCCCATGTCCTGTCTGCAGTGGTGCCCATGCCCATATCCCATCTGTGGCAGTGCCCACATCCCATGTCCCACTCGAAGCAGTGCCTGCTCTTGGTGGGCCACATGAAGTGCTGCTGCTTTCTGGGACTGGGGAGCAGTAATGAACAAGAGGTCCTGCCAGAGCCAGAGGAGCTGTGGCTGATCTGGACTGGACTGGGTCCACAGTGGGTGAGAACAGCTGGGGTAGTTCCACAGCAAAGCTCAATCTTCTGGCTTTTTGACTTCTTCATGGATTCAGTCTCCCATGACCCACTTGTTATGGGCAGGCTCTGTGGTGACCCCTCCAGACTCTGAGTACTGGGAAAGGCCCTTTGCTTGGGACAGTAATTTTAAATTCTCTTTGAGGGGCCTTAAAAATTGCTGAACTTTCAAATTAAATTCTTGTGATTGAATATTTATTGTTGAACTCAGCATGAAATGTAGAACAAAGCCTAAATCTAGGAGGGATGCTCTGGACCTTGGCGCAAATGCTGACAGCATTTTTAATATGTACTGTATTTTAGTGGTGAATGCTTAAAATTATTCTGGTGGTTTGTGTCCTCAGCTGTTTCTCTCTCTACTGTGGTTAGCCTTAGAGTCTGCACTGGAATGGGTAACACATTAGTACAGGGATTTTGTGGCAGTGCCGTGGAGTCAGAGCCCCGTTACGGCCCTGTTGTACGTCAGAAGAAGGGCTGACGAGTTCCTTGGTGCTCACACGACTATAACAGGGTCGACTGTCACCTGGGTGGAGCCTGCCTGTCCAGGATCACCAATCTGAGCCTATTCTGTCATTGGAAAATTGTTCATTCTCATGGATAGGTCAGAATTAATGTTGTGTGGCGGTGGGAGCGCGGTTCAGTGCAGGGTCAGCGCCGTGCTGACGGGCAGTCTGGGGCTGCCAGCCATGACCTTGGCCCAGCCTGCTGGGGCCAGTGCCAGTGCTGAGGCACAGCTGTTAATAGCTCCTATACTCTGCAGTAGTATCAAGCAATATCAATATTCAGGACTTGGGCAAATCCAAAACCCCACAAAATGCCTTTTGTATTGTTTGACAAAATCACATTAGTGTTTCTTTCATGTAAAATATCCACAAGGTTTTGCTGCTTCCGAAGACAAATGCATTCCAAGTGGTAACTGCAGTAACTAGTAAAGAGAATTATAACTGCTGCTGACAGAAAAAACGCTGTAATGATATAATACAAGAAATAGCCTTCATTAGTGTCAAAATGAGGCAGATGTGAAACATTATGCTGATATTTCCTCAGGGGTAGCACTTAAGTAGTTCTTTGCTTGCAGAAAGGTATCACAAAAGGTTTGGATCAGAGTAAGTCAGCTGGAGTTTATCAGAGTTGAGAAATACGGCACAGAGAGAGCCTTAAAAGGTGCTCTTTGTCCCCGGGCCCTTCAGTGTCCTGAGGGGACGCTGAAACATGAGCTGCTGGTACTAAGGGAAAAGCAAGAATGTTCAGCTGGGGGTGTTAGAGGAGAGGCACATACCCCACCACCCCTGTATGGTGGGCACAGCCAGAGGCTCCGGGTTTTGCAGTGCAAGAGGATGTCAAGGCACTTCCCATACTTGTGCAGAAGTATCCCTTAAAGGGGCTCTGTTCCCTGCTGCAGTGCCTGCTTTGCCTGGGGAGCACAGCTCAGAGGTGGTTCCTTGTGCTGTCACACTGAGCTGCTCATGTTGGCGGATTCTTTTCTAAGAGGAGGTGTCAGATTGTCTAGCCAGCTGAAGGAATCCAGTTGGCAGGAGAGTGACTTAATAAGTCACTGAGAATTTTAAAAACACTGTGGTTCTTTGTTTAACAGCCAGATTCTACAAAATTAGCGCCACCTCTGAGATGATTTCTCTCATCACCCTCCCTGTTGTGTCCCCTGCTGTCCTGCATGTCTCTGCCTGCCCTCACTACCTTGTGTTGTCTGGTACAGATGGGTGCTGGGGTCACTCTGCCCATCCCCTGCAGGGATCATGCCAAGGTCCCTGTGTGCCCATGAGAGCCCAAGGAGGATGAGCATCCTGGTGCCTGGTGCTCGTGCCCACTGTGTGTGCTCCTGCAGGGACTCCCTTCTTCTGGGAGGGAGAGTCTGAAATACCCCCCTGTGGGAATGTGGGACTTGTGTGGGCAGGTGGCAGAGGTCCGTCTGCTTATGGACACGGCCGGGCAGGGTGAGCCCACATCCCCCCCAGTGCCCTGCAGACCTTACCCAGGGCAGTTTTGGAAAGGGATGAGTTCAGCCACCAGGAAACAAGGAGCTTTGGCCACTTGTCACTGTCACACTCAACCACTGGGGACTTCTAAGTCCAGTGGGAGTATAAAACACTCAGAACCTGCAAACACCTTTGCAAGGAAAGAGGAACTCTGTGCTATAGCCCTAAACCTGCTCCACAGCTGCTCCTTGTTCCCAGGAAAGTGCCTTTTCCTTGATTTTTTTTCTGGTCTCTTTTTTTCCTTTTCCTCTCTGTTGAGATGGATGAGGACAGGAGCTGACTGCCTGTACTGGTGCCTGTCCCTGGTAGGGGTAGGGCAACTCTTCCACTGCTCAGAGGTGCTGCTGAACCTTTTTTCTCTGCCTTTGCAGGGTGCTGTTCCCCTGTGCACTGACCAGGGCTGAGTTTGGGCATTTCACATCCCCCCCACCCCTGAAGTGTTTTTCCAAAGATATTTCTTCCCTTCTCTTCACCTGTGCTCCTCTTCATACCTTTCCAGCTTTAAGAAAAGCATCCCTTATGCTTTCCTTTGGATTCCCCTATGGTTAGTGGACACCTCCATAGTGGGGAACATCACTTTGATCTGTGTTAGTGACACCACAGGGTTTGCTCCCAGCATGTCCTGCAAGGAGAGGGCTCCTAGTCAGCCCCAGATCTCCCAGCAATCTCCCTCCACTGGCTCTCCTTCCCGTGGTGTGTGTCAGACACCAGTGGGGCAACACCATTCCAGGAGGGACCCTCTCATGGCCGGCGGCTCCCGAAGCCCTCGGGGCCGAGTTGCCCACAAGGTGCTGTTGGAGGAGTGTCCCGGGGTGCTCTGGGGAAGGTGGGGAGCCCCCCCTGCTCCCTGGGAGGTGAGGTGGCTCCATGGTACCACGAGGACGGCTCTGTCCGAGTCTGGCAGTGGGGCTGCTGTGGTTTGGCTCTGTCATCCACAAACCCGTTGCTTTCTTTTTCAAATGTACCTTCATAACCTCAAGCAAACACAGATGTGACTGAAATTCTAGGCAAAGTGCACTACAAATGTTACCCCTTCCCTTCTTTTCTACCTTCTGCTATTTGATTTATTATTTCCTTTCCCTTTCAGGTCTGCTGTTTTCTAGTTGGAGTGATTTTTATAGCCTGTATTATAAGGAAACCCACACGTGAGGAAAGGAAGAAGGAATTAAATGGAAAACAAACCACAGGCCCAGCCATTAATCCTTCTGGGGAAAGCAGGGCCTGGGCTGCATTCTTCAGCATCCAACCCACTGTGGGACACACCAGGTGAAAGTCGTCAACAGGTACTGAAACAAAGAGGGAGTGAAGATTAAATGGGGACTTGATGGGCTCAATATAGACAATTCTACCCCTCTGCAGTGACTTCCAGAAATGGGGGGGATTCTGCAGCCAGTGTGATTTGGCCAATACCCAAAATATAACACAGAGATTTGACAGTAGGGATTGCAGATAGAAAATGTAGCATTCTCTGGCACAGCTGTCATATTATACTAAGCCCGTTACTTCCCTTTAATCCTAATTAATACTCTCTCTTTCCAGTCTGAGCTGAGTCTCTGGTCAGCCATCGTTCTGGGGGATCTGCTGCTGCTCTCCCACTGGAGCCTGTTCCTTTGTGCTCTTTCCATGAGGAGCAGCCAAAATCATGAATTAAACATTGCTGATATTAAAGAGGACTCCTGGCATCTGCCCCAAATGGAGAAATCAACGTGTCATTCATTACAGATATCCACACTTGTACAGGGAACACGTGTTTGCCAGATGGTGCCAGTTCAGGATTCCCAGAGGGAGCAGGAGTGGTCCATCCCTGCTGAATGCCAGAGCCACCCCAGTCCCGGGGTCCCCCAAGGGTCTTCACTCCTCTCCCTGCAGCCTGGCAGAGATGCCCCTGGGCCTCTCCCAGCTGAGGCTGTGTTGTGACCCCAGACTGCCAAGGAAAGTACAAAATTGATGTATCTTGGGGGAGGGAGGGAGGGGTGTGGGCTGAGATCTGGTGTCTCAAGACCATTCTTTAGACAGTGCTGATCCAGACTGTCTTATTCCCAGCATTTTTCAAATTGTTATTTCCTACAGTTTGCAACTACACACAGTAGTCAGAGGTTATGACACGTAGCTGACTTTAAAGGACACTGTCTGTAACAAGTGCTATGTACATATTCTATAAATGTTGTTATACCCTGTATTTTATAGCTTTAGACTGCAATAAATGGGGACAAACTATGTGCTTGTAGTGTGAATGGAATGGTTTGGTCTGTGTTTTTTTCTAATTACAGAATTTCATATTTATTCAAAGTAGATCTCTGCATGCAGGTTATGAAGTATTTCCTTCCAAACACAAGATACTTGCAGTTCGAGTGGATCTTGACTTGCATCAAGGAATCAAAGCAGGCACAAGGAGAAGCAAGTACAATATGTCAGACAGTGGGTCTTTAACTGTGCAGAAAGGAGCAGCACATCAGAAAGTGTCATTATTTCTGTTCCTCACTGCTGGGCACAGTGAGCCCGGGGCAGGGAGTGGGGCTATGTGGGGCTGGGGAGCTCAAAGGCAGCACAGCAGGCTGGTGTGAGGCTCGTGTGCTGCTGTGCTGGAGGAGTGGTGGGAGGATGTGGGGGCCACATCCCAGAGCCCCCCTGGGGATGGAGCCCACAGGGATTTGTGTCCAGCAGGGCAGGGCACCGTGGGATGCCCCGCTGAGCTCTTGGTGGGCAGTGCTGGCACCAGGCACAGCGCTGGGCTCTGCTGAGGGTGCAGCTCTGGGGATTGGCACAGATGCACCAGCATTGCACAACAACCTCTTTCTCAAATAGATCTGTCACTTTTTATATTTTCCTTAATTAACATTCCAACTGCTCGTGTGTCCTTACGCACCACTCTGCACGTGTGTCTGAGCACAGCCCTGTCAGTGCTGTGCCGTGGCTGTCGCAGCCCTGGGATGCTCACGCAGCCTCAGAACAGAACCCTCTGCAGGCAAACTTGAAAGAAGCTGGGCAGTGTCTGGAGCAGCAGTAAGGAATCTGGGATTGGGAACTCACCACACTGTTATTGACTGGTCTCCATTCCCAAGAGGACAAACCGGGGCCTTGTTTGCCAGGTTTGCATTTGAAAAAAGCCTTTGCTTTAATTAACAGACAGCCTAAGTGGCATTGTTCTGTTCTCCATTCTGGGTTGTTTTTCAGAAAACAAGAATAGTTTCTGAAATTTTAAAATCTCCTAAAATAGAAATTTTATCTGGAGAAGTCCCTCTGTGATTCCGTTCCTAGTATAAACCAAATTTATTTACTTCTCTAGTTGAAATTGCATTATTAAAGAAGAACATAAAGTTTATTTAATATTATTTGATGTTCTTTGTTTAGTTTTGAATGAAAGTTGGGATTATGCGACCATCTTGTGGCTGTAACACTTGTCAGTTCATTTAAATTAATATTTTAGTTTCTTGTTTATTATCACAAAGTTTATTGGTTTGTTAGAAGTAATACCCAAACTTATGATGCTGGAAAGGGAAAGCTGCAGCTCATCTGGAACACTTGGCATTGGAGAAACACACCGGGAGCAACCACAGACAGGCAAGTTCAGCACTCCAGTGGTCTGTCTGTGTGTCTGTCTGTGTGTCTCATGATTTTCAAGTTGTTTTTCATATCCTGATGCAAGTTAAAAGTCAGGGGTTTTTTTTGGAAAAGTGCATATTTTGGAAACCTCAGCCGTTCCCAGGCCAAGGGTGAGCAATACAAACCTTGCACAAGCAGGTGACGTGGAGATGGGTGTCTTGGAAAGAAAACATCGAAGGAATCATGCAGAGATTTGGGGTGGGTGATCCATGGGGAGGGGGAGTTGGAGGCTTGTACAAAGCCACCTTATTCTTTGCCCAGAGCCAGTGGGCTTCAGTTCATGGAGAAAGTAGCTGGAAAAATTACACAGAAATATTTGACCTTCCTAAAGGCCTCTAAGACACAATTACCTGATGTTCACTGAAGTGGTTCACATGGTTCCCACTCTAAATGATTTTCTAGGTTCACCCATGTGTGAAAAAGGGTCTGATTATATGGAGGAGGGCAATGGAGGAAAGAACTGCGGGAAGGAGAGAATTATGCCAGGGAATTTTACTGATTGTGTTTGCTTCAAGGGAAGGAAAGGGCAAATAGATACAGCCAACTCAAAGTAGCTGAGTTTCTTTTGACTTTGAATTTCAAAAGAAAGAAACATAAGAGAGCTCTGAGGTGTTGACAGCACTCAACAGAAGCTGTTCCATGGAGTTAGGTAGGAAATGTAGCATCCAACATAGTTTGCTTTCTTAGACAGATGACAAATTCTTTTTTCCCCCCTGTACAACAAAACTGTAACAAACCCCATTTGTCCCAGTGCCTTTTCTTTCCTTCTGCCCTGTGTTGCCAGGCACAGGACATCCCTTGCCTGTGCAGCCAGCAGTGCTCACGCCAGGGGCTGGCCATGCCCCTGCTGCAGAGCTTCAGCTCAACCCTGACCGAAACAAGTGAGTTATCTGGGGCTGCATTCTTTAGTGGGCTTCAGGCAAAATATTTTTCTAAGGAAATTAATTCCATGGTTGGCACAAAAGTGCCTCTACTGTGCAGTTTTCCAGTGGCAGGTGTGCCCAGGTGCACACAGCTGTCTGGCTTCAATAGTAAATTCCTGTGTTCATCTTGGTCTACACCAGTGCCCAGAGCTTTGCCAAGCTGCCAGCAGCTTGCTGGGGCCATGGATGGGCACCTCAGCTCCCTGCAGAGACTGCACCTGCTGCTTGTTGCCAGCTGATCCCAAAGGAGCTGGAACGAGGCACCGGGAGTGCGGCCGCCAGAATTGCACTCCCCACATTCCAGGGCCGTGTGCTGAGGAACTAAACCATGGCAGAGAGACTGGAAGATTTGAGAGTTTTCTCCCAGAGCCCATGTTTAACTCTCCGTGGCCCTGTTTGGGAATGGGCTGTAGTCAGTACATGCCTTTAGCTTTAACTTGCACTTCATCGGTCTGGGAGGAAGAATGGAAGAAATGTTCTGAGAACAAATTCTGTGTATGTCTTCTGCCACCTGCTAATGGTGCGTGTGAGCCGCTGCGTGCCAGGAGCCGATGGCAAAGATAATATCATTGCTGGGGAGAAAATTGCACTGTGCTGAAAATGAGACGTGTGTTCCAGATGACCCGATAGCTCAGCACCCACTGGGGCCGGGCTCTGCTCACTGACGCTCTCACAGACACATTCAGTGTGATGGAATCCCAGAAATTAAATTATTTAGGGTGGGCAGAAGGACAAAAGCTGAAGAACTTCTATTCAGATCCATCCCTGAATCAGGCTTTGCTACATCTGCCTCCAGCCTAATTACTATGGGCAAGGACAAGGGAGGCTGACGGGTGGGAACAACTGTCTGTGTGCCTGGTAAAGCTGCTGGTCTGAAAACTGACATAATGGCACAGTAGATGTGGTGGCAGCTCTTTGAAAGTAAACATCCATTTACAGCAGGATCATACAAATCTTTGAGGCATTCAGCAGCAAGGTCCCTGTGGCTTTTCACCCTTGTGTTGCCCGGAGTTATTGCTCAATGAGGGAGTTCATGGCATTTTGTGTGAACCGAGAGGTAATTGTGAGCAGCTATTTAAATAGCCCTAATTATGTTTAGAGACTGGCTTTCAGGCCAGTCCCTGAAAGCAGCTAGGATCTGTGAATGAACATATTGCTACAGGTGACCACCTGATCTATGCATATGGACCTAAAAAAAGCCACTTTGCTAAGTTTAAATACCTCAGTAAAGCTGAGCAGACAGCAGACGCCAGCACGGCCGCGCCTGCCCCGTGCACGCTGCCCAAAGCAGCATCACAGGGGGCTCTGGGTCGGGCACCGTGGCACCGTGGTGACCACAGCATGGTCAGCCAGCCCATGGTGTGCTCCTGGGGGACCAGGGCCTTAAAAAATAAAGCCTTTAAATACCCCACGGACAGAGAAGGGTGAAGGGACCGGGGCCCCCTGAACAGGGGTTGGAGAAACCCAGAGGCTTACCTTGCTTAATCCTTTGGCAAACATGCTCAGTGTCTGCTGAGTCCCGTGGCCAATCCAGCCTGTGTCAGCACTGCCCTGCAGCTGGCCCAGAGCTCCAGGGGATGGAGGGCACCCGCTGCCCACCCAGAGCTCCCCGGGGATGGAGGGCACCTGCTGCCCTCCTGGGGGACAGTGGGGTTCCAGCTTGGCGCGGCCCTGTGCAGTCAGAGTTTTTGAAGGAGACAGTCCATGACAGAGAGGACAAACGTGAAACTGTTGAACATATTCAGCCCTTCAGCGTGAGGGTTGAAGAGTTCACAGTGACAGCTGAGATAAGGCCAGGCCTGGTGATGGGCCCCAAGCCCTCCCTGCTCCACTGGCCTCCTCCTCCTGCTGCAGCGAGCACCCAGCTGCCTCAGTGACCATGTCTGGCTTCAGTGTGACTTAACTGCACACAATTGTTATATCTTATGACATGGAAATGGGTCAGAAATAAACTCCATGCCTTTCTGTATTAACCTGGTGGTTAATACAGAACAGCAAGAAAAAAATTCCTTAATATACATGGTGGTCAGTCATGTTTCTTTCTCCTCGTTCTCTTTTGATCACTGATTGCTTTTGGCACTCCTCGTTCCTGGCCACAGGAGGAGGTGAGCACTGAGGGCACCTAGTCCTGCTGGTAGTGCAGGAGATGCTGATGGGGAGGTGCCACCTCCACTGCAGCTCCTCTGGGCAGGTGAGGGGCTCCTGGTACTGCCCTGTTCAGGACAGGCTGACCTGTGCACAGCTCCCACCCATTCTGGGTGGCACCAGCTGCCATCACCCCGGGTCTCTAGAACCCCCTGCCCCAGCAGGTGCCAGCTCCTGCAGGGTGTCTCCATGCCAAAGGTCCTCCTAACCCACCCCAGTGTTTCACTGCATTGTTCCCTCAGTATCATGGTGGTGGTGTCTGGATTTTGGCTCACTCTGGGAGCAGCAGAGTGATGGGGAACATATCTGGGTGGCAACTCTAGGAGCTGTCACAGCACAGTGAGGTTAAGGGCATTTTCCAAGGAAAAGGCTCTCTGGAGGAGGATTGCTGTCAATGCTTGTACTGCCATAAGTAACACCTCCAGGCACCATAGGCAAACCTTTTGGTAGCAAAGTTTTAAAGAGATTTTAAAGGAGATTTCACAGTAGGGGGATTATGGAATTACAATTAGGATAACTTAAAAAAAAATACACATGGAAGGGAAAAACATTATATCCATTCAAATAATAATAAGGTGGGAATGAGAATAGAGGCCAGTTTTAGAGAGATGAGTAACATGTACCAGAGAAATTGTCGCCAGTCCTCTGGACAATCAGTGTTTGTTGGAGTGTTCAGTCGTGGCAGCCCCTGCCGTGGGCTATGGCAGCAGACCGGGCTGCTTCCAGGGGCTTGAGGAGCTGTGCTGGTCTGTGTCACACAGGTGCCACTCGTGGCTCAGAGGCTTTCAGAGGCTTTTTAGTTGCTGCTTACAGATTGAAGGAAAACCAGCATCACCTCAGGCTATAGGGAGAAAAATTCCATTGAACCACATTTCCTCTTTGCTAGACGAACCTGAGAAAGATGACTCGCTCCAAAATGTGAGGGTTCTCCTGACACCTTCCAAACAATCACTGCATTTCATGCCTGAATGCCAATCAGCAAATTTCCAGTACAATATGTAAACAAATACAAATCAAAATGTCTGCTGTTTCCTTTGCACTCCCCAGGGGCACTGGACAGAGCCCTGTGTACGGGGAGGACAGTCCCAGGGGACTGTCACAGCTGAGACCCATGTGTTGGACAGAGCTGAGGGACACAGCACACCTGAACACAGTGACACCTGTGAAGGTGCAGGCAGGAGCCCTTCGTGCTCAGGCAGTCACTGCCCAAGCAAGGACACTGATCAGGAGGACTGTCCTGATGCTGTTCCAGACCAGAGCTAGTCAGAGGTAGCACATGGCACGGATCTGTCTCGTGCCTGTTTACACAGGCTATCAAACCATGAGCATCCAGGATCCCTCGGAGCAGCAGCTCTAAATATCCACAACAAACAGCACATCCCTCTCTCACAGACGTGTTTTGGAACACTCATCCAGACTTTCAGCAAGGAGCAAAAATTATCAGAAAGGTGCAGCAAGCAAAATTAAAAAAAAACAGCCAGGGTGGAAGGGCCTCAGACTACCTGAATCTCTAGCTGTGGGTCAGAGATTTGTCATGCTCTTAATAGCAATACAGTTCCAGCTACATTCCTGCAGACAGAAGGCCTGGAGACTGGATATGTTCCAATGGCTGTGTACTTACAGAGTGGGTCCTGGGGGAGCAACTGTAGAGGTGGGAAAGAGCTGGATCTCTCTAATGTGCTTCTTCCCTCTTCGTGCACAGTCTGAATCCAACTCAGAGACATTTTTTGCTGTCTGATCTTCACTGGGTCCCTACTGGAGATCAGTCTTTTATTTCTTCCCAGGCTCCTCTGTAAGAGGTGTGCAGCCAGTAACTGGGATACAGGACTGCTGCTGGCAGTCCCTGTGCTGAGGAGGTGCAGGCAGAGGCCGGGCTGTTCCCAGCGACTCACGAGGGATGGTGTCCAGTGCCTCAAGAAATTTGTCCCAGTGCACTTGTGTGATGAGTTGTGTGCAGGGGTGGACTGAACTGCACGTCCACAGCTCTGGTGACCACAGGCTGCCTTCCATATCCCTGCCTTGCAGCTGCTGGGCCAAAGCAAGAGCAGACGGGTGGGACACAGCAGTGTCTGAACAGCTGCCCCTGGGTGTGTGATGTAACAGCCCACACTGCATCATATATAGCTGTTCAGTTCCAGACATTAAAGACAAGTTGCTGTTGCACTGCCCTGCCCTCAGTTTTGCTCGGGGCTGGCGCATTGCCTTGCAGCCAGCTCTGACTCCTGCAGCACACTGGGCAGTGCCAGTGATGGGCAGTGCCAGAGATGGGCAGTGCCAGTGATGGTCACTGCGCCGGGCTGGCAGCTCTGCTGAGTTCAGCATTTCCCCTCCGGGGTTAGCCAAGTCCCAGAGAGCCAAGACAGGAAACAAAATGGTTACAACATCACTCATCTCAGTTTAATTTGCTGTCAGAGGTAAATCAGTGCCTTAATCCCCTGTGATAAAAATCTTTGTGATCTCTTCGGTGGATAAAGCTGTTTGGTCAGGCCAAGAAGCCAATTTTAAACCAGGCAGTATAATTCCTTTCTTCACCAAAGCAGGTGATTTTGTAATCACTGTCTATGCTAGATTCCACCAAGAAATTGTTATTCTAGAACATTAGCTGCAACACTAAGTTCACTTAGGACTTCACTGGAATACATGGAATTGTTGTTTTGCTTCCTTCCCACATCACAAAGTTAAGTTTCTCTGTTATGTGAACAGAAGAGATGAGAGCAGCATATTTTACAAGAATGATGAGCAAGCATCTTGAGTTAGATGAAGATGGGAAGTCTTGTGGTCAGACACCCACTTAGGAGACACAGAACTTGGGTTGTTTCCAGTACTGAACACATTTTTTATATTATCTTTGAGCCCCATCTTCCCCATTCAGGAATTTTTGAGGTTCAAGCGATTCATAGCTCCGAAACTGATTCCTCTCTCCCTCCCATAACTGTTTTGGCTGACTAGACTTGTTCTTTTGCAACAATCAGATTTAAACGTGAGCCAGCCTGGAAGAAGTAAGTAGCAGAAGATGTACAAGCTCTCACCAAAAGAATACCTCCAAGTGCACACATTTAGAGTTCAATTCTGGTGTTACAGCACTGGCCAATGCAAGGTCAGCATCCCTCTCCTCAGCTGACACACATCTGTTCAGCTCAGAAAAGCTGGGACACAGCAGACAGTGCTGTGATGATATCCTTGCTCCCTGTGGGTTGGGATATGCAAAGCTCCTGCTCAGGAATGACTGAGTGCTCTCTTCCTGGTGTGGTACAGCAGCTTGCCAAGGACCAACCCATGGGAATAAAAGAACTTAGGAGACAAACACCTTGAGCTCCCAGACCCCTCACTTATTCCCAGGAAACATCATTACTGACATACATAGTACTAAGAACCTCCTTTGCATTGCCCCATGCACATCTGCTGAAGGATGTGATTCAGAGATGGACAGGATGGCATTTCCTAGCTTTCATCAGCACAAATGACTGTACCAGAGCAGCCCTTTGTTTTGTAATGGCAATGATGACATTGGGCACATACCTCCCATTTCCAGTAAAGATCCCTTGTTGCATGGCCCCAGAACAGAGCACAGCCTGAAACACAGGCTTCCCTGATGTGTCCATTTCCCACCACTCTGGGCAGGGAAGGGCAGACACTTACAGTGAACCTTGATACTGCTGGGAGGACAGATAAGCCCCCCCAAAGGCTATTGGCACCATATATTCAATCCCTCTGCACCAGCAGACGTGAGTTAGCAACAGGACACCTGAAAGAATAAGGTCCAGGGTCAGCAGATGCCCAGGGCAGCCACTAAAGCTGTCTGCTCCCAGGAGCTGAGGCTGGCTGCCACTCCTAAGAAACCAAAACTCCTGCCTGGTAGTAAACATCTTCAGTTATCACACAGAAGAAGAAAAAAATCCACACAACAATGACCTAGCCAAGTGTTTAGGATGGAAAAATCTCAAAGATCAGGATGAGATGGAATTCCTTGCTTGGTGGCATGCCTGGTCACATAGTGCTGGTCAGACACGGGGCCAGGACCACACTGTCACCTGCTAACTGCCTGATCCCTCTCCCTCCTTTGGCTGCTGGACATGCAGGTAAAGCCTGGGTGGGACAACTGCCAGCTGTTAGGAAAGATCACTTGTGCCCACAGGTCACTTCCCTGGCGAGGAGCACCTTGTTCCCGGGGTGAAGCACTGACTGCTCTCAGGAGCATGGTACAGGCTCCCCAGTGCCTGGCACCTCGAGGGGGCTGCAAAAGCCCATGGAATAAATAGGGTGAATGGCACCAAACCTTCTGGGGGGAAGCAATTTTGGTGCAGTGTTGCCCACCCATAATTCAGAGCCACTCTTTGCAGTGAGGCCGTGCGGGCAGGCAGAGCAGGGTTCATGCCTGGAAGGTGCAGGCCCCTTTTGGTGTGCCACAGCTGAAGCCCATAACATAGGGAAAGAGAGCCTGGCAGCTCAGTCTCAGGGCTGAGCAGGCAGGGTCAGATCCTGCCACAGCTTTGACTTACAACTGGACAGACTCTGTACTTTTCAAGTTGCAGAACTTAAGCTTTTTGTATTTCAGTTTTACAAATGCTAGTCAGTTTTTCTACTTTTCATCTATTAAATTTCTCCGTTTCATCCATATCCCATCCAGAGTTTCATCCATTAAAGCCCTAATTTTGTTGCCTTTCCTCACTTGTAAGCTGAGGGGGTCCCCTTCAGAGAGGCTGGTTCAGAGAATGGTGGTAGTAGCTATGAGTGCCCTGTCCAGTGACATCTCAAATGAAAGACAGGATGGCTGTGCAAGGCATTATAAGGTAAAATTAAGATAATACCAAGGCAGGCCCATATCTGCTGCTAGCATGTTAGATTCAGAATCGCTGCTGCTGAGCAGCATTTTCATGCCAGGAACCTGCACCAGCTGCTACAGCTACAGATAAGTCCTTCAGCTGATCCCACAGCATGGGTTGTGGACTCCTCCAGCTCTTGGACTCCTTCACCTCTGCATCACCAAGATTTCTTCAGCACAGTCATTAACAGCTCACACATACCTGCCACACCTTGCAGCACCCGCCTCTGCATTCCTCACCCTGCTCCAAGACATGCCTTCTTCAGGGGCTCTGCTCTTGGAGCTCCCGGTCACTGTGATTCACACGGGATCACAGTGGGATGAAGTGCTGGCAGGTTGTGGTCATGATGGATCTAGCCCTGTCCTTGCAAGAATAGATTCAGAGCAGATTATCCTGTCACCTAACCAGTACTTTTGGGAAATATTTTACAACTTGCATAAAGAAAAAAACTGCTGGAAATACCTGATCTGTAGTGACAACCTCTGGACCTCAGTACACACAGAACTCCAGTGGTGTCCATCACTTGTTGCACTTTCATCTGTTCTCTGACCACAAGGTTTTTCCCAGCCTCTGCTCAGTGTATAAAGCTTTTCCTGCCATGTCTCACATTTGCCAGCTCTGCAGTCTCTGAGTGCTGCTGGTATTTCCAACTGTCAGATCTGCTGGGACAGAGACAGCTCTGTCTGCAGGGATGCAGTACCTGGGAGCTCTGACAGAACAAGCTGAGGGTCCCAGCATCTGAACCTGGGGGGTGCCTGGACTCGGAAGCTGGCATCATTTGCTTCTCAAATAACATTGTCCATTAACTAAACTTACGAGCTGTTTACCTAACATGTTACCTGATAATAAATCAAATGGTTTTGTGGCCTGGAAAAAAAAGCTAGGAAGTGATATCTCGAGAAGAGTTTGTGGATTTGTATAGTAGAGGAGGTCTTCTCAGGCTCTGGGTGGAAAAATGTCTCACAATTAATTACCTTCAGTTTCCTCCAGTCCCCTTTCTGCACATGCAGGTTAGTGCATAGATAGAGAACTTGATCATGGTAAATAAGCCTTTGCCAACATCTTCCCTTCAGGTGCTGTGCAAAAGAGCTTCATTTAGGAGACCTGCCCAGGAAGAGAGATGGAAACACACAGGAGTCAGGGGCTGTTTAGGCAGAGAAGATCCCACTGTCATCAGAATGAAGATGTGCCTTCCCAAGGAAAGGATGGCCTGGTGGTGGGAAAGGACTTTTCTCTGGAACTGATCCCAACCCACACCTGATTTGAGGCTGTGGATTCTTTTTGCTGGCTCCCTGCAATACTGCTTTGATTTAGGAGACTGACACATCTTGAGATATTGCTCCTGACAGCAGCAGAAACTCTTCTGACCACACACCAGCACAAGGCTTTCCTGCCGTCTCAGTTTTATTTCCTACTCTGAGCTCTGCAGTCTTACACCCATGTATCCTGTCATACACAAACCTGCACTTTAAAAGTGGTCATACTGTAGCCACAAAAATCCCTCCTTCTGGTATTTTTGCTAGCACCTGTCCCTGGAACATAGGCTTTAACAAAGGGAACATGTTTCCCACTGATGTGCCAGACAAGTTCGTGGCTTTGTCTTGCTGAAAATGAAGTCTTGATTATTCAAGCAGTTCCCAATGAGTCACTCCACACCCTTGAATTACTTCTGACAGATGTGAAATGCCTTTTGCTGAATTCCTACTCCAAAGAGCCTTTTGCATGACTGGTTTATCAGTGAATGTGAGCAGACTCATGATTTACAGTGCTTCATCATCATGGTATGTGTACTACTGAACATGATGACTATGGAAACCAGACCCACCTATTTTTTGCCACAGGCTCAGAGCCTCTCAAATCTTCCAAGAGCTGCACCAGAGGTGTTCAGGCAGGGCAGGTGCCTGTGCAGGGAAACCTGATTTGCTCTGTGGATCTCAAAAATGGGTCGGCTGAGGGCGTATGAATTATGAATTCACTCTCAGGGGTGATATGGAGACTGAAGCACCAACCTGAAGGCCTCTTTCTGTCACGGTTCACTTTTTTGCTTTCCCTTTGCTGCCAGGAGTGTGCCTGCCACTGGCTACATGCTCAGTTGTGGTGCAGGTCACGCGTGGTGCCGGTCCCTGTGCCAGCCATGGAGCCCAGACCTCGCTGCAGCTCCGTGCCCTCGGCCGTGTGCTGCCCTGACCTCCTGCAAGCTGGAAGTGCTCTCTGCCGTGTTTACACACAAGCAGGGTTAGTACACATCTCTGCACACACCCTCAGGGACACTCCTGGACTTTTCTCCGCAGCCTGCAGAAGACAGATGAAGGCTGTTTCCCAATAGCTCTAAGGCCTCTCCTGAAATGAGGGATCCTCAGGGTGGCCAGAGGTGACCTTTCCTTTTCTCCTATAAAGAAGAGATCTTTCAGGGGACCTTCTCTGAACAAGAACCTCCTCCAAAGCAAGAAGGCAGCTGCACTAAGAGCACCGTGGGGCCACTGAGAGCTCGTCACTCCTGCTCTCAGGTGCACCACAGACAGGATCATGCCCAAGGTAACTCACCTGCGAACTCTGAGACAATGATAACACTGTGGGGTTTAGTCTGGTCAGACACAATCACTCCCCTGTACATACCATTCATGTGGCTCACAGGAAACACTGTGGTTTCTTACCAAAGGGAGCTCTGAGCAGCTGAGCTCCCTCCCAGAAAGCCCCGTCAGCAATCCCTGTTGGCACCTGCACGAAAGGGGCCAACTCGCTCTCGCTGCCAGCTGCATTCCAGGGGCATTCCCAGCCAGGCCAGGCCTGGCTCCATGTGAGGCTGAAGACATTACCTCTCCAGTGGGAGACTGTGGGAGATTTTAGTCTGGGATTCCACATTTTTCTCCTGCGGAAGTCTGTCACTGCAAAACAGAACAACAGCACACAAAGCCATGTTAAGCCATTTTAGTGATTCCAAAATCCATTATTCCTCTGACTAATTAAAAAAAAAAAACCCAAACATGCATTAGATGTTACAAATGTGAATTTTGTATTTGCAATGGTAAAGCTCCTCCCTTCTTTTTATCCACAGATGGTCATGATGATGCCTTTTTGTTCAATAATTAATCATTTCTGTGTCAGGTTTGACTTGTTTTAGGGATTTAAATTGTATGTCTTGCTCAAGGAAATCTGTAATTGAGATACAAATTTGGGCACCTGTGAAAGACTTCAAAATTTATGCACATGACTAAGTATATGTTTTTAAACATATATTTTACTACCTTAAAGGCATCTACACAGAATGTCAATGGAGACTGATCTGTCATTGCTCTATCTTGTCAGCAGAACCACTGGATTCTGACAGCTGAATAGAGGCCATTAATTAAAACTGCCAGGTTTTGTCAGACCTTTGTCATGCTCCCAAGATAATTCAGTCTTATGCATTTCAAGCAGCTGCAGCAGGAACATGACCAAAACTTGAATTTCCCCCCTAAATTCTATTCCTCTCTTTCTAAGAAAGAGCACTTATTCCTGCAGCAATAATCCTTTGCATTTTGGAGGAAGGGTGCTGGGAGGGGTAACTTGGTTTTGCATTGAGCAGTGCCAGGATTTATGCTGACTCCTCGACAGCAGCTGTGCACAGGTTCTGGCATTGACTCCCCACCCTCAGGACAGGGGATAATGCCACGAGTTTTGCAGGAATAAAGAGATTTTTTTTCTCACTTTTATAAGCAGGTTCTATGCTAGAACAAGCAAACAAAAATTGGACTTGACTTCATGTCCCTCTGCTCTCACAAGTATCCTCACTGAAGCTGGTAACTGCTCCTGGGGACATACAGCCCTCAAACAGTCATTCTTAAAGGAGAAGTGCTAGTTTTGCATGTAACTATTATCTATGTCTTAATTTTGATGTATTTACAAATTCACTCTTTGTAGCACATCCACGAACCCTTTGGAATGCATGTGATGCAGAGGCAGTGATCAACCCTTACAGACATATTAGAAAGCACCAGTTTTGTTTGCTTTACATGTTTATAATTGTCTCTGGCAATATTATCATTGGTGATTTTCCACAGTAGCTTTCAAAGTAATGTTGGTTTGTCTGGATATCCAACATTGCTAAAAAGCACTTGGAATATCAAACACAAGAACAATTGTTTGTTTCTTCTCACTACTACAGCCTAACACGGATGTGAATCAGGAGCCATATTGCTACAGCTTCTGAAATCAAAGTAAAGCCAGGTAGTGTATAGCCCAGCACAGACATATCCCCTAAGGACACAGATGTGTGCTGCCCCAGCCCCTTTTTATAGGAGATAAGGAAGATATATGATTAGAGTTTAGTGCCAACTTTTCACTGCCCTAGGAGGTAACTGCAGTTATTTTGTACGGACAATCTGTTCCTTCCATGCATTGCTTGGAGGTGAATCCTCTTCAGAAAACCCTTCCCTGCCCAAACAGAATAGAGGGCTGTGCCACCTTCTTCAGGTCCCTGTTTGACTGGGCTGTCACAGTTTTGCCTCTGGGGCCAACCTAAACTGCCCCAGAGCATGGAGAAGACCAGTTTCAAGTGAGAGCACATGCAGTTTGCACACTTGTGAGGCTGTTGACTGCAGATTTCCATGTGGAAGTCACAACAGTAATGAATACATTCCAAAGGAAAATAATGTGGCACTTTCCATATGGGCTTCAGGCCTGCAGGGAGGCAGCTGTGGAGGCAGGTAACTGGTGTCTCAGACGGTCAGGAGGTTTTTCCCACAGCTCACCTGGATTCGGGTGGTGGGCTCTAGAGACTCTGTTGCCCATCACACTTTATTGTCTGAGCAGAAACTAATGCAGTGGCCAGGTCCCTTCTCATGGGCCTGCCCAGGGAACGAGGGACTCTCTCATATCAGGGTCAGCCTACCTGAGGAGTTTGCTTTTATTCTCTGCGGAATGGTGGCATCTCGTAAGAGCACTTGCTGTTAGTGTCTGTACAGCACGATGCAGAGTGAGGGATAAGTGTAATGCTGAATTACACAGTGGGGTGAGTAAGAGCATCTGGCAACGTCTGCAGATATATGAGGTCAGTGGGTTTACATTCCTTGAGGTCAGAGAACAGAACAAGCGTGATCTTATCCCCGTGCCAGTTTCTCCACATTACAAAGTCACCCCAAGGTGGGACGACACGTCGTTCCTGCTCTGGGAGGATGGGGCTGAGGGCTTGTCTGCACTGCCTGGGAGAACAAACTGGAAGGAACAAATAGGAGCGAGCAATCTCCAGGTAAGAATGCAGAGGAGAACAAGCACACTGTTCTCCCCACAGCATGAAGCAGCCAAGCTCACAGTATGTACCGCCAAAAACACATAAATGCTCCCTAGTGAAACCAGAGCATATTTGTGAGGGACTGCAAGATCTTAGTGCCCAACCTCACTTGGTGTCTGCCCAGCTGGGGAGCAGAAGAGGTCTTTTGGTTTAATGTTATGGATCTGACCTGGCATCCAGCCCTGACAGTCAGTGAGGGAGAGGACAGCATAACAGAGGAAATGCATTTTCCCTCTCCTCACTTGTTATTCTAAGTGGTCATGTATTAATCCTTAAACTCAACTCTTTTAATTATTCTTATAACCCTTACTGGTGTCATTCTGAATATTACTGTTATCTTTGTAAATACACAATCCCCTTTCTGCAGAAAATTTAGCCACCCAGCTAATATGCCCTATGACTTTGAAATCACTACAGTAAATTCATCAACAGAATTGAAAGTAAAGCTAAGCTTTGGATGAAAGCTACAGCTTATACCTCTAAGGCTTATAAATTTAGTCTGGTCCAAGGTATAAATAAATAATATATCATTCTGAAAGGTTTCATATGTTTGTCAGACAGAATCAGACAATTTTAGAGGCATACATTTGTGTGCAAAACACAGTTATGGTTATAAAGGCATGTCCCAGGTCAAGGAAACAAATGTTGTATCATACAGAGGTTTCTGTTAAGGATGGAATTGCTCAGAATTGGCATAGGTAAAGCATACCTTTAAATGCTATTTACTTGGCAATATCCATCTTACACATCTTTGCTCATTGTTGCACAGTACCTAGACAAGACAGTGCTGAATACATGATAACCAGGTTTTTGTATTGACCCAAACACCCACAAATTACTTCAGCTATTGAGTAACAAAGAAGTCCATTTCTGAAGGCCTACTTGGATAACACAATTATTCTTTTCGATGCATAAAATTTGAATAGGGCTCTGGGAATTAACAACATATAAATAATGATGATGGTGATAATTTTAAAATGTTCCCCAAACAAGGAATTAAGGAAGTCTTGAGACAGGTTTTGTGGTGAACTTGATAAATCTTTTCACAGTTTTTAATTTGGAATATGAGTTATTTCATAATCTACAAAGCTCACTTGGCACCTGCTGTGGGGTACTGGAAACCCCTGCACAGCACACAGCTCCTGCCACAGCCCAGGATCCCGAAACTGTGTCTGAGGTATCTGTCATCCTGACCCTGCCTATGCTGCTGTTGTTCTGTAACTGCAGATCTCAAACAATGAACAATGCTGGACAGTCATCAACCTGATTTCAAAAATGGAGTAATGGTGATGTAATGAGATGAAGAAACTCACTTGATACTATTGAATTAATTAGTGTACATACAAGGATTAGATAGATTTCCTCATTCCTGGTGCCATTTGAAACCCACTGCACAAGAACACTAAACCCACTCCTTATGGCCATTCCCCATGCTTCAACAGACCCAGGCATTGAAGGACTAGGCATTAAATCTTCTTCACCTTTCACAGGTCTTCTTTTTAAAGAAATTTTGTTATGAGAGAAAAGAGGGCTTCAGCAGCTGCAGGAAAGAGCTCTCACAGTGCACTCTTTCAATCCTCACAGGTCGGCCTCTCCATTCCCTCATTGTCCTCCTGAAGAACCCTGAGTCCACCCAGGTGTTAAGGCCTGCAGTGACACTGCTATGAATGAGATTCTGATCGATATTTCCTATTAAGACTATAAAAGTCTTTTACCACATGAGTAAACATGGAAATATTTACACAGGTTAACCATGATATTGGTCTACATAGAATAAAACTACAGTTCCACTACATTGTTCTGTGTTTCAGCACCATACCTCCACATCATCTCTCCTCCTCCAGCTTGTTCTGACCTAAGTGTCCTCCCAAAGACCTCACTGATGTGATCCCCTGCCAACTGGAGCAGGCTGTGACTGGGCAGACTCACCACAAGTGCCACCTCCGACTCACTGAGACACAGTGTCACCATCAGAGCACAGGCAGTGTCACCATCAGAGCACAGGCAGTGTCACCATCAGAGCACAGGCAGTGTCACCATCAGAGCACAGACAGTGTCACCATCAGAGCACAGGCAGTGTCACCATCAGAGCACAGACACAGTGTCACCATCAGACCATGAACTAGGCCCTGTGTGTCTCCTTGCAGGGAGCTGTTGCCATAGTCCCCCTCAGGCAGGTAGAGGAGAGCAGGAGCCACCATCCCCTGGCACTGCTGGCACAGCACAAGGGCCACCCCCTCGGACAGTGACATTTTCTCAGAGTCTGCATCCTTTCCTTCAGCAAACCTCCACTCCCAGCTCACATCGAGTGCCCAGCTGGTTCTGCATTGGTTCACACATGCCAGCATTCAATCAGCATCGCGACAAGGCCACACAACTGACAGGCAAACATCCCCACCACAGAGTCTGACACCTGGGGGACCTCTGCAGACCTTCCAGAATTGTGTTTGATCCCCTGTACAACACTATGCCAGCTGGGAACAGGACAATCCTGATCTCACCTATCAGCTCTGCCCTTTGTTATTGGCACCACGCCGGAAGGAAAAAATCAACTCTGAGATAATTAGGTGGAGAAATGTCCTGAAACTTTTAAAAACCCATGGGATCTTCGACCTAGACAGTGCTCAATTCACAGTAAGATCTGTAATCTTCTGAGTGCCTTGTTGAGTGGAAAAGGTGAGAAACTAAGTGGCTTTTGTACAGGCACCATAATGCAACCAACAGGGCTAAAGCTGAAAGACCAGGAAAACCAGAAAAAAAACCTTTTCTCTTTTTCTTCAACTGATCTTCTCTTTGTATGACTGCACCATCTAAAAATTGTGTATGACTTAATACTGAATAAATGCCAAAACCTCCTGTACTGGAGAGACCACAATAAAACTGCTTACAGTTCTGACTGAATTAGTCATAATATCCATTGCTACGTGCTGCTGGAGTGAGTTATCTGCAGTGTGAGGATCTGCCAGGACAAACACGACTGTCCATGGAGGGAAGTCCTCACTACTCGTGATGTTCGATAATCAGACCTTGTCTGACTAACACTTTAGTAGAGCAGATGATTTTTTTTTTCTATTTTCAAATATTACATAAAAACTGAAAAAGAAAACAAATGAAAAATAGAGGTCAAATTTGTGCTGACCTGGAACAGGGTTATTCAAGTGGTAAAACAACTCCAGAAGCACTTTAGAGCTATTCCCAAGGGACCCATGCTTATTTATGCGAGTTGCAAATGTCTCTAAAGAACAAGGGAGATAAGGTAAAGAAAAGGGGTGAATAGACAAACATAAGATTTACTAATTCAGAGAGAAATAGTCCATATACTTTCAGAGAGCAAATCTCCTTGGAGACATTGGATAATATGCTCCACAATAATTGCCAAATATTTTGTCAGGGTGGCCCAGTCTCAAACAAATGCAGATTTTCTTCACAGGTTTGTGACAACAATGTAGAAGTAATAGGAACTCTTGCAATTCACTGCAGTTTGAGACTGGGATTCACTTCTGGATTTTCTACTATTTTTCCAAACCATTTCCAAATTATAAATGCATTGGACACATTTTCCTAGTATCTGGCTGAGTACTAAAAGAACCAGTCACAACAACCTGATGCCTGCAACTCGAGGCAGATTCAGTGACATTTAATCCCTGCACCATCCCCTGCCAGAACCAAACGGCAGCACAATGCCACAGCATGGCAATGGGGGGAGTCCATGATCCCACTGCAGCTCCAGCAGGTTACTGCACAGGTGATGGTTGAATGCTCTGGTTGTTTGTCCATCCTAACTTCAGATCCAAATAGAAACTGCTTGAGAATTCCACAGGCTTTGTTCCCAGTTCAGGTTTAAGTTAAACCATTGGCAATGTCTGCACTTGACTGGCATTTTAGTGAAAGAAAACCCATGAACCTATGCATCCAGAGTGGAAACAGCTTCTTCATGGCAACAGACATTGCTCAAACTTGATAAGTGTTTGCTGACACTTATTTCAAAACTGGATTTTGATGGGAATTCTGCTTAAACAAGGACTTCAAGTTTGATTCCTGCATCTCATGTATGCCTTCCAGTACAATTTCAATTTCTGAACTCTATACATTTTTAGGAGAGAGCAATACAGCATCATGTCTTAATTCCACATGATATTTGCACTGTTCAGTAAATTTATCCACAAATAAAGAAGTCACAGTGTGCTTCTAATTGTATCACTAACTAACCATGTAAGAACTGCACTTTTTGATGTTGCAGAACTGCATTTTTGTAGCATCAATACATTTTTTTCCTAACCCAAATCTGTTTCCTTTTTATGGCTTTACATGTCATACTACAGCAAAACAGCAACTTCCTCTCTGGAAAAGGAAGGACAGCAACTTATTGTGTTATGCATCAATACAGAATTGTTACTAATAAAATGGCCTAGCCCTTAACTTTGTTTACTACAGCA